GCCCGGCCCGGCCCGGCCCGGCCCGGCCCCGCGACGGCCACCGCGGGCGCCTCCTCACCTCGGCCGAGGGTCGCCGGCGCCGCGCTCAGGGAGGCGCGGCGGCTCGGGAGGCGCGCGCCTTCCCGCTGGCTCGCGCAGACAATGAGCCGCTTTCAGACGTGGCCGCCGGCGGAGCGGAGGCGCCGACGGGGGCAGGTGGGAAGGAGGCCGGCGCCCCCAGCGCGCCACGCGCGGAGCCCAACCTGGCGGAGCGCTGGCGCGGAGCTGCGCCCGGGGAGGCGGCCAGGTCGTCGGCGGGCGCGGCGGCCCCGGAGCGTCGCGCCCTCCTGGCTCGGAGGCGCTCCGACGGGGGCGAACTTCCCCGCTCTCGGGGCGCCCCTGCGCGCACAGGACCTGCGGAGACGGCGAAGCGGAAGCCGCCGCGCTTCTGGAGCAGGGGCAGCGGGCGCCCGTCGAAGTCCGCCCCGAGGGGAGCAAGCCCAAGGCGGCGAAACCGGCTCGCCGAGCAGTCGCTGCCTTCCGGCAGGAGCCTTTCCCCGTGCGCCCGCCCTCCCCTCCCCTCCTTCGGACTCCTGTTAGCCGTGGGCCGCCACGTACCGCCTATCTTCGCCTTGCCTTAGCGATGATCCGTGCGGGCAGCGCGCCAGGCTGGGGCGGCCTCCCCTGCAGCCTGTCGCCGCGAGGGCTGCAGCCCGGGAGGCGAGGGCGCGCTCCAGCCAGCTGCCTCCTTTCGCGGAGGAAGGCGAGCGGGTCTCGGCACCGGCCACCCCGCTCCGCTCTCGCCTCCAGGGACGGGCCGGGGGCTGCTCTCCCCTTTCCCTCGCCCGACGCAGTGCTTGCCTCGGAAGGCCAGTGCCCCGCCGCCCATCGCCCATGGGTGCTGCACCCAGAGGGCGGGGAGAGGCGAGCCCCCTTGCCGGCTCCCGAGGCCGAGATCGGGCAGCTCCCACCCGCTCCGGCCGATGCCCGGGGGGGGGGGGGATCACTTCCAAACCGCTCGCAGCACTGCGCATGAACAGCGCCAGGGGGAGGGGGGCGTGCTAAGGAGCTGTGCCTGCTCCTCCGTCAGGTTCAGGGGAATCTTGGCTGAAGTCCATGGCAAGAATTCCCATGGGATTTAAGGTTCTGTGCACCATTCCCTTGGCTGAACAACTACAGGAGGCTTATCTTGGCATGGCCTCAAGGAAACACTCAAGTCCTTCCCATTTCACCTTGGAATCTAAGGAATTTCCCCGTCTTCTCGGAGCGCACAGGCCTGGCTCCCCATGGTGCACCACAGGGATGGCACCCTGGCTGGCTCCAGCCCTGCAGGGTCTCCTGCTGCTCCCACTTTTAACAGGTTCAGCAGCTCAAGGGAATGAGGAACGCCTGGAAGAGTCTGTCCAAAAGCTCAGGACAGGCCACCAAGCAGACTTCTGGAAAGGGTAATCCAAGTTTTAAGCTTGATGCTATCACATCTCATCAATTTATTGAATCCCTTTCAGCAAAACTGGTGTTGTCATCAGAGTGCTGAAACGACTTAGCAAGCCTGGGTTCCAGCCCCTCCCTCAGCCATTAAGCTCAGTAGGTGATTTCTCAGCCTACCTCAGAGGCTTGTTGTGAGGATAAAATGAAGAGGATCGCCATGTAAGTTTCTTTAGGTCCTAGGGTCGGGGAGGATACAAATCTCATAAAGAATATGTGAAATAAGAAGTTTTGGGCAGGACCAAGCAGCTTTGGGGCTGCAAACAATATCAGCATGAATTTACTTTTCTCATAAAACACTTTTCAAATTTAAAATCAAAACAGCACAAGACCTGAAAGCAGCAAGAGAAAATAAGAAAGCAAGCTGGACTGAATTAAGTGGCAGAGCCTCTGCTTTGCATGCAGAAAATCCTGTTCAATTCCCATCATTTCCGGCTGAGTCAGGAAAGGCTGCTGCCTGAAACCCCAGAGAGGAGCCATCCTTCAGTGCAGACAATTCTGAGGCAGTCAGACCCACAGCTGAACAGTGTGTCAGCTTCCAGCGTTCCTCAGTAATCCAACATCTCTGGCCAGTGTTTTATTTGACAAATAAACCATTTGCCAATGGTACTGGGTGATCAACAAGCACCCGGATCTCTTGCACAGTCGCCATGCTGTGCATCCTCCCAGCCAGGGGCCAGGCAGCACACGCCCACCCCTGCGGTGATCAGGGGGCTCCTGCTACAACCAGGTAGTCCAGGAATACCCCTCACCTTAGGAGGGGCTTGTTCAGCCAGTCCATGCTCCTCTGGCCCAGTGGAGGAGCAACGGAAGGCGGGGCCCCTCCTCAACGGCCCCTCTTTTCCTGGGCAAGATGGAGGCGGCTTCCCAGCACAGCTGCTGTAAAGCACCCCCCTCCAGCCCCCCTGCACAAACCCCAAGAGATGCTCTGTCCACACAGAATTTCCTCGAGCTGCAGCCCTGCAGACCCTTGCAATAAGACAAAGGCAGCCACCTTTCTTCTCCTCTCACAGCCCTTGAGGAGCCCAGATGCACTAATGTTTGAGCCACGAAATGCACCCACTGAGCTCCATTTTCATACTAGTATGCAGAATGAAGACTTTTGTGGCTTTTACCGTTCCTTTGCTCTTTCCATCCTGACATCTGTAGAGCTCAGGCAAGTGCTTTCTTACAATTTTGTAGCATTTTATTAGATCTGATGAACGGTAGCCTGCTGCTGCTGCTGTATATGGAATATTTCCAACTGAATGGCACTTTGGACTACATTTCGGTCTCACACTCTACAGATCGTCCCAGCAGGCAAGAAGTCCATTATTCCAGCTTAAATCTGCCTATTATTTCAGCACCAGGTGAATATCCTTCCACAGATCCAGGTTTTCACTCTTCTCCACACTGCTTTTATACTTCTATCAGTTTCATTTTTGCCATGGGTTCCATAGTGCAGTATTTTCATGTTTCTGTTTAACTTTCTTAAAGAACATGTTTTAAGGTATAAATCCCTAAAATGGGTAAAATTTAAACATTAAAGTGGCTATTCATGCTATCCCGTGGCAGGAAGGTAGTTTTCTTTCCAACCTCCCTTTTCTCAAACTCTACAATGAGGCAGATACCCTCTTGCTGAAATACAATTTATTCCTGCATAAGGACAGCCTGCCTTTTCATGGGGTTGGTTGTCACCCTTGTCTTTAAATCTCTGTGCACTATTGTGGCAGAGTTGTGTTTAACCAGGCCTGTGTGCCTGAAATCCAATCATCAAATTACACATATAAACAGTGTACTTTAATTATCACAACTTTTATATGTAACAACTTCCTCTTGCAGACTAGAGCTGCTACAGCAATGATGTACAGATCAAGTCTGGTACCTCCACAACTTACAGATATGAAACAAGGAAGATCCATGCATCCCGTGGGTAGTGTAGGTCTTTTTTGGCCTATGTTCAGGACTGATGCTCTTTTGCAGACAACTGCAGTGATGCTGGCACTGTGGCTAGCACTTGATTCCAGAACAGGAAGGCTTTGATTCTTTCAAACATCCAAAGGAAGATCAGCAGGATGGAAACATACTGAATCCAGGCAAACTTAATTGTCTCCCAGAAGCCTGGCTGATACGTATCAAGAATCAAGGAACATTTGGAATTGCAAGTTTTTTCACACAGGTTCAAGGACACACTTTTCAAAGATGGCACAGTGAAAGACTGGGAAAATGTTCAGAGAGAAAGGTAGCTGAGGACATTCAAGAAACATAGAAGACATCCAGGGAGCACCCTTCTGCAGAGAGATATGAACATAACAAGCTCTTTCACTGTCCGATTGTTGATGGTATAAAGCAGGGGTAGGCAACCTGTAATCCAGCTGTTTTGAACTACAACCCTCATAAGCCCCAATTAGCATGGCCAATGGTCAGGGACTATAGGAGTTGTGGTCCAAAAAACTTGGGAGGGCACCAAGCTGCCTATTATGGCCCTGTTCAAGTCAGCAGCCACCACCCACCAAATGCCCTGCTCATCATACGTGATCAGAAATGGTCCCCATTGCGGTCATGCAGAAACCATCTGGCAGCCAAAGGATATACAATCAGTTCCATGGGGTAGCGAACTGTGGCCTGGAGGACAAACGGCTCCTGCGGGGTTCTTCCCAGCACCCAGATGGGGCTGGGACCAGACAAAACTGTGGTGACTGCAACGAAAACCGCAGAGATGCTGAGGACCCTTCACCAGCCTTCAGTCGGAATTAGCTTGCTCACCTACAATGCAGACTTACTATTTCTCTCTTGATAAGCTGCAACAATGTTAATGAGATCATAGTCCTGGACAAAAGGGCTTGTGCCATTGATCACAGAGACCTGTCACAGTGAGACAATTTCACATTAGGAAACACAAGTAGCTGATGCACAGGATCAGGCCACCCTGCTGCTATTTCTGAGTTGCCAGTTGCTTCAGAGCAGAGGGGACATGCTTCTGCCATATCTGGTGACAGCCACTATAGAACCAAGTAAAAATTTGCAGAATGCAACCAAAATCCTTTGCAGCTCTTCTGAATCCAAACAGTCCAACATGACAAAATATAATACACTTTGAAAATACTCATAAAAATTAATCAGAATCTATAACCTCCCTGTTGACACTACCCACACTGGCTTGCCATGTCACTTGAAACTACAACATGTTCCAACCTGAGTGCGCCCCAAAGCCACCAAGCTGCTTGGTGAGAGCAGGAAAAACTGCTTGCCATTATGACAAATGGCTGCTGGGGAAGCCCCAGTAGCTTTGTCCAAGGTGACCAAGCAGTGCTTGAGGGATGCTCTCAGCATCTGTGGCAGGCTAGAGTGGCTAGCAAGGGTGCAGGCTCTACTTCTTGCCAAAGAAGCACATGCACCCCCACCCAAGAAGGGCCAGAGCGGGCCGTTCACAGCCGTTCTTGCCAGGTGCTGGAGAGCAGACCTATCCCGCTGCTGGTGGGGATCCACTCCACAGGGCTGCCCACGACTGGGGCCGCAACACGGAGCACATCGTGCACCCCACCTCCTACCCAAGAGTACACCATCAGGGCAAGGAGCAGTAGCACAGTCTGCTTAGTAGGGCAGCCACATGTTCACCAAGTGGCTCCGGGAGCCCCCCCTCCTGGCCGACTGGCTCCCTTGTCCTCCCCTTTATGCATCAGGGAGCAAGTCCCACTTGCACCATGGGGAGAAGGAAGGGGCTTGTTCTCCCCGTCTTCCTATGGTGCAAACAGGGGTTGTGCCCTGAAACAGGGGCAACGTCCAGCCTCCGTGAGGGCACTGTGCAGTGCAGTGCCCAATGCACAGGGGCAGCTGGTGCCGCCCTGCATCTTGCCCCAGCCGGGGTAAAAGGTGGCAGCCGACTGAAATTAGCTCATGGCTGTCAGAGGAGACTTTGTCTTCATCAGTGTTCCCCGGGACATCATGTGGCAAAATAAGGGGGAGTGGGGGGAGGGGCTGAACTACCCATGATGAGCCCAAATGTAGTTTGGGGCCATCATGGGCAGCTTGCACAGCAACCAATCACTGTGACTTATTGCCGGGCTGGGTTATCATACTATAGAAACACCTTATCTTTCTACAAGAATGTTGCCTGAGGGAAAGAAACTCCCTCTACAAACCAATATATAGAATATTCTAACTTTGGGAGCAGCTATCTCAAGAATATTAGTAGATGTGGTTGAGGCAGAATTGGACTGGCATTTTTGCTTTTCTTCATCTTTTGCTGATCTTAATCTAGTAGGATAAGAAGCAGATCAGATCTGCTGTCAGCCTACCTATTTTAGGTCTTGCCCACATGGATTGTTGTTGATACGTATTGACCCCAGGTGACAACCACTGTTACACTTTGGTATCTCCTTAACACTGTAAATTATTACCAAGTGCTGCTACCCCCATCTCACATTACTTTGCTGACAAATTGCACGCTCTATGAAAATAGGAGTTCCTTTGATCTTTCTGGACGTTCATGTCATCAAGTGTTTCCAAACTCATTACATGCATGTAATATTAAGTATTTTAAATCCCACTTATTCCATCATGTCCACCCTTCCTAAGTTTGAACTAGGATAAGTGTATGATTCAAGAGCAGTCAGGAAATCAACCCTGACTGTTCTTTAGAAGGACAGAGACTGAAACTCAAATACTTTGCCCACCGAATGCGAACGAAGGACTCACTGGAGAAGCCCCTGGTGCTGGGAACAATTGAAGGCAAAAGCAGAAGGGGACAGCAGAGGTTGAGGTGGCTGGATGGGGTCACTGGGGAAGTGGGTGTGGAATTGGGTGGACTCCAGGGGTGGTGAAGGACAGGAGAGCCTGGAGGAAGGTTGTCTGTGGGACTGCGAAGAGTCAGACATGACTTTGTGACTGAACATAACATAAGTGTATGATTTATCTCCTAGGCAGTATACCCACTGGCACACTTTTCACTGACGTAACATTTGGGATACAGTTATACTCACTACAATGGAAAAGACACTGCAAAGTGCAACACAAGTGACAAAAAAAGAGGCACCACTCACATTATACCGGCTGTCCAGTCCAACATGACTTAATGGCTGCCTCTGATGAAGCTTCAGGTCTCCGTTTACAAAAACCCGAATCCCTGGCACAGGAGAAAAGGACTGCACAAAGGCCATGCTCTGCATCACAAATGTAGACATTCTCTGAAATGGGACAGAGAGAGAATACCAGTTAGCAACAGACAAAAGAATTACACCAAAACCTGCCAAGAGCCAATGTGTTTGCACCTAAACCTAAGAAAGAAAGAAGGAAGGAAGGAAGGAAGGAAGGAAGGAAGGAAGGAAAAAAAACTGGGCTGTCCAGGTTAGAAACTCCATTAGGAACAGAGGGCAGCATATAAATGCAAATAAATAAATAAAGTTTGCTTTATTTATCAAATACTAAAGAAAAGTGAGAGAACTTCTTATTACGCACACATGTGAACAGCTTAGGATACTCACATACAACTCATAGGTAAAGGTCAGAATAAGTTGAATTCCCACTACTTGTTCTGTAGATTGTAGTGGAACTTCCAGCTGAAATTGTAACAGGTCCATTAGCCCATCTTGATTTGCATCTTCCTCTCTAGCCTAACATGTACAACAAGGACAGTTATTACAGTATTTCTGTTATTACAAATAATTGGAGGCAGAAAAGAAGAAAACACCCCCCCTTCTTAAGAGTTCAACAATATAAGTGAGGTGTCCACCTTACAGAGTGATACAACAGCAGATCATAGCCACACATTTTTCAGGTACAGGATCACCCTGCACCAATCTGGTCTCAAAGTCAGCCTAGAAATCACCCAGGCCAATGCCAGTCCTCCAAAGCAAGCTTGCAATTCGGGCACCTCCAGTCCAACCATGCAGCCAATGGAGTCCACACTGTTGTGGCCTATACAAGGTAATTCTCAGCATGCCTTGGGCCAAAACCACTCTTATTCTAATCAGTTCTGAAGCCACAACTTTGAATATTAAGCCCAATTCTGAGACGTTGGAAAATCAAACTTCAGAAATTTGAAAGATCCCTCTGCTTTGGCTGCCCATGCAAAAAACAAGATTAAAACAGGAAGGGCTCAGCCTCTGGCAACAACCCACCACCAGATACAAGCACCTTCCTAGCTGAAGAAAACCAGCGGGGGCAGGAGACACTTGGCGCAAAGGGGTCCTCACCCAACCAGCGGCAGGGCTGTAGGCCTCAATTCTGCCACCGACTGATTCCCAACCTGCAGCAGAAGCGGGCCCTCCCCGCCCCCGCACTCAGGCAAGAGGCACAGGCCAGCCACCCCCCGGGATGCTTCAGGCCCGGCGGATCCAGCCAGGCGGGAGAAAGACGCCCCGGCGGCCCTGCGGTGCATTCCAGCCCGAGCGGGCGGGCGGGCGCGGCGGCCACTCCGCAGGCGGCTCAGCCGAGCCTACCGAAACGAGAGGGACGCGTAGGCGAGGGCCCAGGAGGCGGTTGCAGGCCGGGAAGGAGCTCCAGCCCACTAAGCCGCCGCCGCCGCCGCCGCCACTCTCGGCCAGCTGCAGCAGCAGCAGCGCCTCGTGCCGGAATCTGATGCTGGGCTGCTCCGCGTAGCTGCTGCGCTTCAGCCAGAAGCCTGGACGGACGAAAGAGAGGGAGAGAAGCAGTGCTGGCGGCGCCGGGCAGGCTCGAGGGCCGCTCGCCCTCCCCTCCTCCGCCCGACACCCACCGTGGCTCCGGTAGGCCACCAGCAGCGGCGGCAGGTAGGTGAGCGCGGCCAGCAGCACGAGCGCCAGGGCCGCCAGCGAGCACAGCGCCGCCCGCCGCCCGCCGCGCTGCCCCCCGCGGCCGCCGCCCGGCCCCTCCAGCCAGGCCATGAGGGCGCCGCCGCCGCCGTCGCCGGGCAACGCGCGGCGCAAGCGACGGAGGCCTCCCGCGGCCAATCCGCGCGGCGAGGGCGCGATGACGGCAGCGCCCCGGCTCCGCTCCCGGAAGCCGCGCGCCCGCAGTGGCTGCCGGGAGGCCGCCTGTCGGAAGTCCCGCCCGCCGTGCCGTAGGGCTGCTGCTGTTGTGACGGTGACGCGACAGGCTCGAGAGATCCCGGACCCGACCGGCCCTCGCCCCCGCCGCGCCATGAAGTGGATGTTCAAGGAGGACCACGCGCTGGGTGAGGAGGGCCTGCCCCGGCCCGGGTACCCTCCCGAGCGCCGGACGGGTGGGGCGACGGGCGGCCCTGGGAGGGGTGGCCGCCCCCATCCCCCTAACGCCTCCTTCTCCCTTCCGTGTCCTCGCAGAGCACCGCTGCGTGGAGTCGGCCAAGATCCGCGCCAAGTACCCGGACCGCGTCCCAGTAAGTTCCGCCCCCCACGGGACGAACCTGGGGCCCCGCGGCGCCCGTCCCGGGGAGCGCCTCCTCGCGAGTTGGCGGCGGCGCAGGCGGGCGGGCTCATTTCTCCCGGCTTTGCAAAGGACCTGTGCGCAAGATGACCCGACTCTTCCTGCGCGCAGGCGTCCGTCCGTCCACGGCACTAGACGTCCCCTCCAGCAGCTAGAGCGAGAGGAGAGGCAGGCAGGAGCTTAGTCACAGGCTTGCTCTACACCGTGGGCATCCTCAGAAGGCCTTTTTAGAACACAAGAAAAGCTATGCTGGCTCAGACGAAAGACCTGTGCAGTCCAGCACTCCGTACACACTGCGCAAAGCAGCTGCCCACCAGATCCCTCAAGCAGGATGGATGCAAGTCTTCTGCCCAAGCTCCTCAGCAGCTGCTATATGCAGGCATGCCACCTCCACTAAGGAAGTAGCACATAGTTAACAAAGCTAGTACCCTTGCACTGGACCAGAACACAAGCAGGCCAAAAGGTGTGGAGAGGCAGCAGCAGAACTGCCCCCATTCCTGACAGACCAGGGGAGAAATGGAAGTTGTCAGGGGAAACCATAACAACTTCCTTATATTCGATCTCCTGACACTCATGAGAGGTAGGGAATGGAAGAGGGCCTCCCAGGACAGCCTGAGGAAGCAGGCTGATGCCCTGGGCCCAAGGCATTTCATAATAAATGCAATAATTAAATAATAGATAGTGTTTCCAAGCATTCAGAGTACATTTCTTGCACTGCGTAAAAGCGATCCTTAAAACCATGCATGGTAAGTTAGAACTTAAAAGTGAAACCAGTACTTGGCTCTGAAAAAATGGAAGACGTTAAAGTTGTTGGTGACCAAGGGTCAGGCTGCAAGGGCCTTGCACCTATATTTTGAGCGTATGGAAGTTTTCAAGCACCCATCCAAGCAATTCTACTGAGATCACCAAGCAATGTCTTTCTGGGCATGACTGACAGCAGAGCATTTTGGAGAGATACTTGTTGAGAATATAAGGAAGGGGCCCCAGAAGAAGAGAGTGCAATGTACAAGGGCCAAGCCAGGACTGGTCTTTTGTTAGTTTTCTGTTGGACTCTCCAGGCATCGCTGAGCTCCTTGCCTTTGCTTTAACCATGCCTTACTTTGTCACTTCCACTATCACAATAGGGTTTTAGTGGTACAGTTGCTCGGATTGCATCCTGCTGGCAAGGGAGAATCAGTCTTCATATCATTCTAGAATTATAGACTATTAGAGTTGGAAAGGACCAGAGGACCATTAGGGCCACCCGCCTGCTCATGGAACGGAAGTTAAATCATCCCTCTGTCCAGTTGCATCTTGAATGCTTCCAGTGTGAGAGAGCCCACAACCTCCCTTGGGAATTGGTTCTGTGGTCGTACTGCTCTAAGTCAGGAAGTTCTTCCTGACTTTCAGCCAGAATCATCTTTTCCTGTGACTGGATTAACTGAAGATAGGAATTTCAAATTGCGGGATAGATCCTGATTAAATTTCTCTTTCTTGTCGTCTTGGAGCAGGTGATAGTTGAAAAGGTCTCCGGTTCTCAGATTGTGGACATTGACAAGAGGAAGTACCTGGTTCCATCAGATATTACTGTTGCTCAGTTCATGTGGATCATTAGAAAGAGGATTCAGCTGCCATCAGAAAAGGCAATATTCCTCTTTGTAGACAAGACTGTCCCCCAGTCCAGGTAAGAGACATTTTCCCTTTGTTTTGTGCATTAACTACCAGCTGGCCCTTTTTTATGGAAATGTTGATGGCTAGTTGTCTGAATGTCTTCTCTGGCATGCTATGGCTCCTGCCCTGAGGGGACTGCTGCCTCTCCCAACAAACTCTCAGTCCAGTGGCTACTAGCCTTGCCAGGTGCGTCTCACAAACCCAAGAGGATGTAACAGCTGAAATTTTCTAAGAATTTGAAAGTTTTCCAGTTCCTTGGAAGGTGTGTTTGCAACTCAGGTGCACAGTGCAAAGAAAATGAACTAACTTATTGAAAGTGTGTCAGTATTGCTAATTTAGGGTTAGGGTTTTCTGCTAGCATAAAGAGGGATATTCCAGATCACCTAGGAGGCAGCGGTTGAGCCAGGAGCTGGTAGCCTATTGACTGCCATGACTTGCCAGTCCATAATCCCACTTCTAAAACAGTGTATAACCAAGCATGCATAGGAAAATATCTCCTCATGCTGGATTTTTACTAAGAAAGGCAACTTACCACTGAAAATGTTGTGTTGCAGTATTGGGTACATAACCAGTTGCACCCACAGCATGAACAGGTGAAGTAGAGAGAACCGAGGATGCAGTCAACTGCTGCATTTTGAATATCCTTTCTTCTTCCACCCAGCTTAGTCTGATAGGGCTATTTAGGGATTCCCTTTTCTTTCTTTTTTAATTCTACAAATGTTAGTGCCATTTTGGCTACATAAAGAGTTAAGATGCTTACTGATATATGCAACCTGTATTTTCAGTTTCAGGGTCATGTTTAGGTATTTGCCTTACCTTCCGTACATGTCACACCCCCTTCTTTGCTCCTGTGTGGGAAGCTCGATGCCTCAGTTGCTTCCTCACTGCCTTGTTTTTCTTCTTCCAGCTTGACTATGGGGCAGCTTTATGAGAAGGAGAAGGATGAAGATGGCTTCTTGTATGTGGCCTACAGTGGAGAAAACACCTTTGGCATCTGAATGCATCTCCTTCCCACAGTGTCTTGTAAATAGCCTCTTGTTTGTGATCATGACCCAAAGGCATATCCGGCATCTGCCACTGGGTTGATTTAATATATTGATAGCTTTTTGTTTTAGCCTGGTAATTTATGGAAGTTTTGTTTCCCCACTGCACATTGTACTCATAGCTGTAAATTCCATAGTCTCCTTCCTGTGGGAGACAGTTAATGGCATTATTTAAATATTGGATGCAAGCTAATAGAGAAATTACAAAGAAGGAGAATTTCAGTCTTTTAGATCTTTGACTAATAATTACAGTTTTGTAGCAATGGAAGCTTCTAGGTTAGTCTAAAGATGCTGGTGTGTTGAGCTTGGTTAGTGTGTTCCTCTTGGTAAATTTTGCTTGAGGAAGCAATGATTAAAATTCCTTTCACCAATATACTTCAATTCTACCAATTCTGTTAGTTTTACTTTCATATGAATAGCATTCTGAGGACAAGTGTGTAAGGAGTGGTCTTGTAAGTAGGATCACTCCTTGAAAGAGTGTAAACAATAAAATAGCCACACTTGTAAGACAGCAAGTGATCTCAGAATTCACCAGATGGGTTAGGAAGACTTCCAAAAGATTTCTGCAAACTCCCCTGCACAGTTAGAATACACTCTCAGTCAGAGCCATTGTCTGTCAGGCAGTTCCTCTGTGAAGTCTATTGCCCAGTGCAACCAATTTTGTAAAATGGAGTGGGTAAGACCTCCCTTTGTAGAAGCCACACAGCTTCTTTGATATACAGCAGATGCAGACAGTCTGTAGCTTCCTGGATTCATCTTTGGCACTTTTATTTTTTTAACTGGTGTTACAAAAGGCTAATTGATTCTGTTACAAATTATAAACAATCTCACAATTAAGAGCTTAAGCCTTTCAGCTGAATGCCTTTGGGCCACAGTGATCTACTACTATTAAAATACTGTTCTTTGTCTTCTGCTCATCTCCTAAATACAGAGTTTTACAATTTCTTGATGGATTTAATATTGTTAGTTTGGGCTCAGTTCTCAGTCCTGTCTATTCTATTACTTTCCTTCTCAAAGAGTGGCTACCCCATTACCCTATTTGTCAGTTTGAGGAGGAATGATCCATCCGCCTGGTAGCATAATCTGGCCCGCATTTTACCAGTTTTAAGTACGAAGGATCCATCCAAAGCTATCAGTAGTTATCATGATACTTGCAGCTGCATGCCTTTTGCAAGGGCCTCAGGGTGTCCTGCCTGCGCATTTCCCCCAGCTCACCTGATTGGTCTGGATAGGTCTTTGGTCAAATACAGCTTCGGGGTTGTGACTATGTTCAATCGGTGCAACTTGTTAAAAATGCCATTTGGCTCTGCAGCCATTTCCACAATGTCAATGTATTGAACAGAAATAAACAGCTGTTTGGGAATATATCTTCTTATGCATTATAGGACAGCAAAGTGGTGGCCACCACTTTGGAGGGCTTTAAAGGGGAACTGGACAAAGCCATGAAGAAGGAAGCTATCAATGGACGCTAGCTGTGATAGCTCTGCACTGCCTGTAGTGTCAGAGGTAGGATACCTGTGCACAGCAGATGATGGACGTGGGCAGGTGGGCCCTGTTACGTTATGCTCGTGGATAGCTGGTTAGGCACTGCATGACCAGAATACTGGTTGAGCTGTACCCTTGGTCTGATCCGGCATCTGTGCTCTTTTTATGTTCTGATCCCTGCAGCAAATTCTCTCTTCTGGCTGCAAGCTGGTGCTGGCGTCTTTCGTTCTGTCATGGCCTGGTGTTACTGGGCCCATGCGTATAATGGGCAGTTCTGTGTGACTGTCTTGCACTGCTGTCCAGAAGCACAGCTCCCCACACTCGAATGGGGGGCTATGCCAGTTCTCTGCCTAAAGGACACCTGAACAGTGCCACACCACCTATTCTTAGCCATCTTATTCAGAGAAGGAGGCAGCCAAGGCCAGTTATGCAGCTTTACATGGCTTTTCTGCAAGTGAATAGAATGAGCATCAGACCACTTAAGAGCCTGTAACCCTTTTTCCACATCCCTAAGGTTCCCTTATATGGATTGTTCCAGTCATCCTGAGAAGTGATACTAGTATGCAGAAACAAAATAGTAAATTGTCTTCAAGCTTCAGATGAGTGAACTACGTAGCAGCCAGCTGTTAGATCCTGGCACAAAAGAAATTTTAGTTAAAACCATTCAAAAAGGGTTTGGAGCCCTCCTTGAACTCAAAGAATAATTTCAGAATTTAAGGGATTGTTATTTTCATCAAAAATCTGTCAGTTCTCCTCAAGGGTCATCAACATTACGTTCCATTCCCCTCCTTTGTCAGCAAAAACCAAAGCTATTCCTTTGATTTTTTTAATACACACAGATTGGTCCAGTTCTTCTGTTCTTAACCATCTTTGTAGCCATTCTGAGTATGCCATTGGATTAGCTTTTAAGTGTAGCAAAACTTCTTGGAAAGAAACTTCTCATTAACTTCTGGTCTCATATTCATTCCTTGTTCTAATCTTGCCTGGTTACCCGTTTCCCACTGTATTAGCCTCTCCATGCAGTGAAGTTTCTCTCAGGAATGTTAGTCTGTAACAGGACTGGGCCAACACTCCCCTCACGCTGTGCTTGTCGGCGTCCCACAGAAAAAGTGGGCTGGCCTAGATAGGCATTTGACCCAATTCCGAAAGGTCCTCTGATGACCTTGTGCTCTTATGTACTTCCGAGTATAGACTAGAGCAGTAAGGTGATTTCTAAATGGATTGCTTTAGAACCAAAAGCAAACCACTAGTTCTTTACTCTTCCGATATTCTTATTCCGGGATTCTAAGGGAGGCTAACCCATTTAAAAGCGGTTATTTCAGTCTGAGATTCATCTGTTCCAAATGTTAAACTGTGACCACATATTCATCACTGAATAAAGCAGATGACAAAATGTTTAGCCACCTTCAACCTATCCTGCAGCCAAACCCTATCATCCAAATATAATGATAAAAACTTTGTCTCCATAAGATCTTCAAAATGTGTACTTTTTTAAAAAAATAACATGATTTGCAACCATACCAATACTTTCATATGCTTAAATTAATAAGGGGTTGTTAGCAAATGTCTCGGCACAGTTACTCCCAACTCATGCAATGAAGAGAGGAAAGACCATAATTCCGCAATTTAAAAAAATATTCTGATCACACACAAGTCTGCATACACAGAAACACAGCCTGGGAGAAGGCATCAGAGACAGTGAGGAACTACAGCTCCACATGCTTTGCAAATCTCACCAAATTCGGAGGGTTGGTCTATCCTTTTGGTGAGATGTGGGAGCTCTGACTATATGGGCCTCTGTGGGTTCAGAAGAGGTTCCCAGAGCAGGGGGATCCAGTCCTGTCAGCCTTGCCCACTGTGGGCAGCTTTGAGCCAGGTGCTGCTGCTTGACTCCTTCCCTCTCTCAAGTGAAGGACAGGTAGCTGCGGCTGTTCCTCACCCAGGAGCCGAAAGCCTGGTGACGCAGCTCTTGCCAGGCCTCTTGGTAGTGAGCAGCAGCTTCTTTGTAGTCCCAGTATGTCTGCAGGCTCTTGATTCTGAAGAGGAGGAGGAACAAAGAGGCCTCAGGCCAGCTCCTCCCGGCTCCCGCTTCCCTGTCCTTAGCGAACGAGAGGGCCTTGAGCAGTATCTCCCGGGCCCTGCCAGGACAAGGTGCCGGAGGTTCAGGAGAAAAGCAGAGCTGTAGGGACGGGCACGTTGCAAAAGGGCAAATGGGGTAGAGAAAACCTGGGCCTGGGCCTTTCTGCTGTGTACCAGAAATTCTCACAAGCTGTCTGTGAATGGCCAAAGAAAAGCTTTGCATGTCATCCCAATGTTTAAATTAAAAAGTCGTACTGAAGCTGCTGCCTATCAGACACAGATAATGTTCCAACTGCAGTGCTGCGCATTCCAGCCATGTGCAGTCCTGCTTTTGTCGGAATCACTGCTGCAGAAAAGGCAGGTTTCAGTATTCCCGTGGTTGCCTTCTCTACCCTGGAAATGTAAGCTACAGGGAAGGCACGGGGAGGACACAGATGAAGATGCAGACAGGAAGGAGGAAGCAGCTTTCAGCCCTCAGGAATCACAGGGCCGCCAGAGCCCACCATCTTGTAAGCTGCCTGGATGCCGGAACTGCACCCACCAGCTACCGTCCACTTAAATTACAACCGGCTGCTTGCTCACCCGTCTCTGCCTCATAGGCAGGAAAGAGGCAGAGAGAAAACAAAATCCCCAAGGACCAGCAAAGCCACAGCCTGGAAAGAGAAACAGGAAAGGCCAAGGGCACATGAAATCCCCAGGAAATTGCAGCTGCAGAAAGCCCTGCAGGAAAGCGACACGAGGAGTCCACATTCTCCTTGGGACAAGAAAGCAAACGTCCCCCATCAAAGACAAGCCCAGACGTATCCACAGAGCTGCCGGAACAGCCCATGCGCTTGACCAAGCCCTGAACTGAATGCACAGTAAGGAGGAATGGCTAAGGTTACTGCTGTTCGTGATGAGAGCAGAGAGTGGGGTTATCGGCATGCTGGGTAAGGTAAGCCCAGTGCTGAGAGTGGAGCAGCCAGATGCCAGATCCTGCAAGTGCTCATGCAAAGGCTGAACCCTCAACACAATCAAAACAAAGGGAACGGACCAGCAAAGGATGAGGGCACGGCAGGAGAAAGGCTGGGTTGGTTGGGATTAGAAGGGGAGGACAACAGTAGATGTAGGACAAGGGCATCCCCCCCACCACACACACACCGTTTAGAGCATCTTCCAGGGGAGGGAGGAACTTGGGCCCTTCTGTTGGACAAGCAAATCGAGTGGGAACTTGCTCACCTCAGAGTTGCTGGCAGATCCTCAGCTGGAATGCTGGCCACTGTCTTCAGGAACGCGTGGAAGAGTTCCACCTTGCAGATCCGAGACCTGTCAGCGGTAAGACCACAGGCCAGTCCTCAGCCTCTTTGCAGGACAGACGACACCGCTCATCCCTAACCCTGGATCCCCAAAGCGGACAGGTGCACCTTCCAGGCTGGGAGGCAGCATGTTTGTTGCAGCTCTTCTCATGGTTAAGGAACATTTTGAAAGGGGCTCACAGTGCACAAATTCAAAACCTGTTTACAGCTCGTTTTTTAAAACTTTAACAAGCAGTATTAGTCCTATTATTTTATTATTTTTGTACTGCCACCAATAACAACACTAAAACCATAAAAGCTTCATAAGGACTATAAACTACAATAAAAAACAAGCACTACAAACTCTATGAAGAATGTAAAAAGCTAAGTGAGATAGATGCAGGATGGATAAAATGCCGTTAATTCTGCTTACTGGCTACTGTGACGATTGGACACATGGGCAGTTTACCTTAAATGTTCATTAACAGGAATCACTGAGGAGAATTCAGAGGGAGCAGCATCTGCTTTAAGCAAACCAGTCAGTGAGGAAATCAACTCTGAAAGCTTTTCTCACAATAACTGGAAAGCATCTCAAACTTATAATTGGAGTTGCTATTCATCTCTGATCTCTGGGCTCCAAAGGATTCTTGCATAGGCTCTTTCCTTGGCATTCTTGCTTTGTAATGACCAAAGTGAACATGTGCAGCTTCTGCAAATAGTCTTCTGCAGGGTGTGGATAAGCATGCATCATAAAACCAGTTTTTTGAAGAAAGGGTAAGGAGGCGGCACGTTCGGCTGCCATGGCTTGTGCCTTGCCTCTTCTCTAGAGTTAAACCATGGCATGCACCACCCTCTGATGATGCACGGAGGGGGCTACAGCTGAATCGGCAGCAGCAGGAATTAGCTCACCCCCCCGCCCCTCAAGGCCCCAGAGAGTAACCAGCTCCACAAACCTCGAGTTCAGGTGTCCAATCCCTTTCATGGTTGTCCCCTGTTTGAAGCCCTGTGAGGTGACATCCAGTGGGTGCTCCTGAACAGCACTCCAGCTGATAGCTGGGGGACAGAGCACAGTGGAGACGTGACTGCCATAGAACTGTGTCATGCCGGTGCTCTCTCCAAGGCTCCAGCAGTCTAGCCTCGCCAGAGTCACGTTCACAGATGGCCCAGCCTCCACCATGACCTCTGCTCCTACACCTTGGTGAGGTGTGGCCTCCCACCCTGTCTCCTGCACTGCCTCATGTACTGGCTGCCTCGGGCAACTCTCATCCTGCCTTGGAGAAGCCAGAGCAGCCCCCCGCCCCCGTGGAGCAAAGCCCATGGACAACTGCCCGCTGCTACCTTTCCTCAGCCAGCCCAGGCCTCCCCTTGTCCCTTGTCTTTGCCACCTTCCTCAGAGGGAAACCATCTCTCCACCAGTTCTGGCCTCCTTCCATGGGATATGAGAGGGTGGGAAATGGACTCAGAAGAACCTGGCAGCTCAGGCAGGGGGGCTTGCAAGTATCCAAAGTCGTCTTTTTCCACTTTCTCAGTTGGGTGCTAACAATCTGAGATGGCCATCAACATGGGATTCTGTCCAGGGACAGAATACTACCTGGGTGGCTTTCAAAATGCGCAAATGATGCCATCACTACAACAGCCCCCATCCCTGCACTCAAGCAAGAGCATGGGAAAGGAAAAGCCCAGCGTCCCTGCCCACCCCACATGCTACGCCCAACAACACTCACCTGCGCCACTTGAAACGACCTTTCTCTGGCCTGCAGCACAGCCAGATCGCACTGTTTGGCAGCTGTGGATGAAGGGCAGATGGGACGGCAGGATCTCCAACTCCTGAACCTGGAATCCATCTGGCAAACATGTGACAGGCCGGCACCTGGGACAGGAGGAGAAACACCGCATTCATTCAGCAACCCTGTCAGTTCATCTGCTCAGGATAACAAACCTGTTCCATTCATGCCCCATAATGCCAAGAAAGCATCTGCTTCCAGGCTGCCTTGCGCTGCCCCACCCCACCTTCAAATGTTGAGTATTTGCAAGGGAGCCCCTGCCAGCAGACAAAGCTATGGGGCATGGGTCCCTCCCACGGCCCGATGCCCTGTCCGGAGCACGCTCACCTGGCAACAAGGGCCCTCTCCATGGCCTCCTGGCTGTAGGGGCACTGGCCCACCACCACCGCCGAGACGTAGATGGGCCGCTGCAAGAAATGCATCAGGAGGGCCCCCTGCCAGCCAAGCACATTCCAGCGTGCCAGTTTGTCACTGCAAGACATGGATGCTGTCTGGGCCCCACGGCCGGGCTTGGTGCGCAGCAGCCCCACGGTGTGGTACCCACTGCCTGCCTTCTTGGAGTCACCCGTTTCCCCCGGGACACACTTGGCACCAGTCCTGCGGACATCCACTACTCTGACTCCCTGGTGGGCCTCAGCGCTGGCATCTTCTTTGGGTCTCTTGGGAAAGGGGCCAGCCACAGTTCCTTCGGTGCCCCTTTTGGGGGCTCTGGATGCAGTGGATGGCTCACAGCACTGGTCCTCCACTTCTGTCACTGGAATGATAGATGCATCTCCACCTGGAAAAGGAGAGGCCAGGCCTCAAGTCAGGGAAAGGAGGGGTGGTCTCTCACTCTGTCCCTCCCAGGGCCAGGAGTCCTCGCCTTGCTTCCTGTGAGAGCAACACCAGCCCACCAAATCAGAAGCACAGCTGCCAGCAGCTCCTGGCTTTGTGCAGAAGGGAAACGGCATGGGGTGCCTCATACTCCCGAACAGTGTGGAAGGGCTGACAGGAGTATGGGGAGCACACCCTAGTCCAGACTGTAAGTATTTACATGTACTATAACCTGTCTTCATTCAGGGAGTTTTCAAGCATTCATATAACAATTGGAACAAACCACCTGTTTAAAGGATTCCTAAATAAATTTCGAACACGGCACATATAAACACCATGAAATCAGGAACCAAAAACATTAGCTACTTTCTTACGTTTACATGCAGCCAGGCCTTCCCTCAAAAGACCTTGAAGGAATAAACATCACGCCCCACAGCACCCGACTTTGCACTCCCAGCAACCTTGCAGAGGAAAAGAGGGGTGGCCCCTAGGCTACCTACCAAAGAAATTTCATTGTCCCTGCAACCCAAGGCCAGGCGTCTCTCAACTGCACCACAGCAGTTCTAGCAATTGCTTGCTCATCCGGAAGCCAGCCTCTTCCATACAATTCCTGAGCTGGAAGGGGCTGTTCAGGCCACTGAGACTAACCCCCTGCTTAGTGCAGAAATCTTGTTGAAAGCATCTCTGACAGATGATGAGCTCATCTCTACTTAGGCACAGTGCTCACCAACTGCCTATGCATTTAGTTCTGCTATCTGACTGCTCTGATCCTGAGGAAATGTTACCTGGTGTTCAGTTAGAACCTGGTTTTCTGTAGATCAAACCCATCATTTCACAGTCAACAGTTCCGAACGATTCAGAACTAATTGAGTCACCCTTCCTTGTAACAACTCTTGAGGTACTTCAGCAGTGAAGTATTACCCTGAAACCTCAAGCACATGTTTACAAGGCTGACCATACTAGGTCCTTTGACCTTTCCTAGTTGAAGTTTAGTTTCTAGTCCCCAGATCCTCTGTAAACCCTCCACTCACCCATGAAAGAAATCTCTCTTCCCGACTAGAAAAATGCAATGGAGCCAGGCTGGGCCACTTCACACATATAAGGAAAAGGGTTTTTTCCCCCTCCTTCCTCCCCCATAACAGGGCAAAAAGGATGCTCTGAGTACACTTACACGGTGTGTGGCTGCAGAAAAATATAAAGTTGATGTGTGCTTTGAGAATCCACTTCCCTTTCTCAGTTCCTGAGGTGAAAATGCTGGGTTCTTGGCATACAGCAGCTAGCCACAGTTGGTGAAGAAGGTACCTGGTGGGCAAGGGGACAGCTCAGCACTAGCACCTCTCTGTGGGCATCCGAGCCTAAGTGTCTTCCAGGAGATGGCTAGTACCAGAGCCAAAACTGACAGCAGCTTGTCCAAGATTAGGGTGATACGGGAAATCCTGAGGTATAGGCTAAATCACATCTAGGTACACTTCCAAGACAGAGGTTGTCTGCATGCCTGCCACAAACACTTCCACCATAAAGTATAAATTGGATATGCAGTATTGTTTGATGCAGCTTTTGAGCTACCTATTGGATTCAAGTACCCCCTGCTAGTGTTTCAGAAAAAGTGCATAAAGCAAGCCTTCCAGATTTGCATTAGAAAGACATATTCAAGGTCCAGCTCATTTGCAGAAGCAAAAGTAAAATGATAAAATAAAAGCCCCTTCCCAATGCCAGAGAATGGGCTCTTCAAGCCCTACGGCACAACATCTCCAAATGGCCTTCCAAGACTGCCTCTCACCTCTGGAAGCTCCTCTTGGCCACCACTTCTGCGTGACTGTCGTTGAGAATGTCCCCTGTAAAAGCAGTGGCAGCACCGCACTCAGTGAAGTAAACCCAACTTGCAGGAGGCCGAGGCATAGCAAAGGGTGCCGCAGCCAGGCTCGGCTGAGTGGAGTCGGGCAGGGCGGGAGCCCGGCTTACCAGTGTTCCTCATTTGGGACTGCCCGATACATTTCGTTCCAGTTCCCATGGCAACAAGTTTTGTCATTCCTGAGGGGAAAAAATAGCTGACAAAAGAAAGAGCAAGCTTCACGTCAACGGAGAAAGACGCGATCCTCCCATAGAGAGCCGGACACATCTCGGAGGCACAGAACGCCTCGCCTCCCCGGCCGCCGCCCTCCCACTGACTTGCCTCCCTCTCCCTGCTTGTCACCGGGCAAGCCGGGGCCGCCACGCCACGCCCGCCGGTGCTGCCCGGGAGCCCCTCGGCCGGCTGGTCCCGTCCACGCGGCCGGCACCAAGCAACCGGGAAGCTGCACCTGGCGGCGCTGCCGCCAGGGGGCGCCACGCAGCCCGCGCCCCCAGACCATAGAGCGGCGCGGAACAAGCCAGCCCGCCCGCCCGCCGGCCCGCCCGCCTCGGAGAAGCCCCGCCAGCGCCTCACCCGGCCCCGGGTCGCCCGCAGCCGCCTCGAGGACCGCCGCCAGCAGCGTCCATTCGCGCCCTTCGGCCGGCTTCCCTCGCTTGGGCAGCCGCTGCTCGTAGTGCGCGTAGCAGGCCCGGGCCACCGCGTCGGCCCCTCCGCATCGCGCCACGGCAGAGGCCGAGGCGACGTCGAGCGGGCGCCCGGCCATCCGCTCCTCTTGCGCCCGCAGGCGCCGCTGAAGGCCCGAGACGCTCCGGAAAGTCGCCCAGCCGAGAGTCCTGGCAACAGGGCGGCCCTCCGCTTCACCTGGCGCCGGAAGCGCGGCCAGCGCTGCGCCCGCCCCTTCCTGCACGGTGCCCGGCGCGCGCTCCCGGCCCCCTCGCCCGCGCAGGTGCGCTCCCGGGCCGGGCCCCTGCCGCGCGGCTCCCCGGCCCTGCCTGCGCGCCCTGCCAAGCGGGAGCCGCTCGGTGCCCCACCGGCGCCTGCCAAGCCGCGAGGCCGGCCCGGCCCACCTCCGCGCCGGCGCAGATGCCGGCCCGCTGAACAGTGGGCGAGGTGGGGGCCGCCGCAGGTGCTGAAGGCAACCCGAGCCCAGTGGCATTTCCCGCTCCCGGAAAGGAAGCGCAGGAAGCCCCTCCAGCCCCCCGGCGAGCAAGGATGAGGGGGATCCATCACGGGGAGCAAGTTGGGCTCTCCTTTATTAACCTGCAGGAAACCCTTCGGGGAGGCCTGGGAGGAGACAGCCTCGTGGCCTGCTGCAAGCCTCACTGCATTACTGGCAACAGCTAGCCCAGGAACAGCCTTTTGGCAAGCCTCTTTAACAGGCAGCGCAAAGCAAGAGGGGGCAATGCGAAAAGCTTCACTCCTCTCCTTAGCTTCTGCAGGTTCCAAAGCACCAGCAAAATCTGCTGGTTAACAACCAATGAAGGGCACTGAGTTAAGATGTACTGGCTTCAGTTGAAACGTTTGCTCAGGCACTGAGGAAATTTCCACTCCTTAGAATCACCTCTTAGTCTGGCTGCAAAGACCAGGCGAAGTTGCTCAGGCACCTTGTGCGAGACCCACCACAAGATAATCAGTCCTGTCCGCATATGCAAAGGGTTCTCACAGAAGATAAAGACAAAATACTAAGAAGAGTATGCGGAAGCACCTTTATTCATGACTGGGAGAATACAGTTGCTTGTCCAGGCCTGCTCAGAGCTACAGCTGCCTCTCCCTCCGCCTGCCTTTCTTCTCTATAGTGTGCCGAGTCACACAGAGGTGCCCTCAGCATTCTTCTTCTTGTCTTCAGGTTTCATAGCTGGAAACAACAACACTTCCTACAAGAAAGATGACATTTCTCAGGACTTGACACAGTTTTCATCCCAAAACATAATTCCCCCATAATTCCCTGGAATCATCCCCAAGCTTCTTTTAAGGGAAATTGTAAACTTCCCTTTAAATTGACATTCACCAAAATTAAACTCCCAAGCACCATCCATTGCACTGCACCAGATTAGCTAGTTTCAGTTGTCTAGCTTTCACAGGCGCTGATGCCAAAGCATCAGCATTGAGCACACGTGTGAACATGGTACTTGTCGGCGTGGTGAAGTGGTTAAGAAGGTGGGAGGACTGGGACCCAGGCAATCTGGATTCCGGTCCCTTGGCCATGCAGCCAGCTGGGTGACTTTGGCCCAGTCACAGACCCTCAGCCCAGCTTAGCTTACAGGGTGGTTGTTATGGGGCTAAGATTGAAAGCAGCAGGAGGAGAATGATGTAAGCAGCCTTGGTTCAGTAGAAGAAAAAAGTAGGATATAAATGACTGCTGCTACAGAATATGCAGAAAGGCACGTGTAGGGCCTGGTGTGTGTGCACTGTGTACTGCCGCTGTGCTTACCTTAATGTTGTTTGAGTCTGTCAGGAACATGGTGAGGCGGTCAATGCCCATGCCCCAGCCAGCGGTGGGAGGAAGCCCATATTCCAGAGCCGTGCAGAAATTCTCATCAATAAACATTGCCTCATCATCACCAGCAGCTTTTGCCTAGAAGGGGATGATAAGTCATCAGTAGGGGCAGAGTCCGCTACCATCCTCATTTACCTAACACAATCCTTTTCCCAGAAGTAGGTTTCAAAAAATCAGCTGCTCCACCTCTCCACCCCAATACACACAACGACTAGCTTCACGTTACTGTGGAGTGCCTCGGATAAAAAATTATTGGTGAAACACAACTCAGGCTGGCACCTGGCTGAACCGCTCACTAGGAGTTCACACCTTGGCCTGATCCTCAAAGAGCTGGCGCTGGCGGAAAGGATCGTTCAGCTCTGTGTAAGCATTGCAGATCTCCTTCTTCATCACAAAAAGCTCAAAACGCTCTGTCAATCCCGGCCGGAAGCGATGCCTGCAAACATACAACAGAAAATGATGGCTGCAGCCCCAAGCCTCGTCTGATGCTGTTCCTCAAAGCTTCTACAGCATGTTCTTCAGAATTTAGGAAAGATCACAATGCACTTGAAACTTCCTCTGAATTTTGCCACATGCATATACCAAAGCAGCAAGTCTGCAAAATTCATTCTATTTCATGTGGTGGAAAAGGAAACTTGAAGGAGGTTTCATGTCCTGCCCATGGAACAAGCGACTCAGCTCCCCACCCCAGGATAACCAACTCAGGTATTCCATTTTCTCTGCAAACAGGTATTCTCCAAAAAAAACCAGCCAATCCCATTCAGAGGCAACAACTTACTTTTGTGTACTAAGAACACAAGAACATGAGAAAAGCCCTGCTCGATCAGATCAAAAGGCCATCCAGTCCAGCACTCCGCACACACAGTGGCGAGCCAACTGCCCACAGGATCCCCCAAGCAGGACCTCCTCCTGCCTCAGCAACTGGTGTATAAACGCATGCCATATCTGGCAATACCCGTCTCCCTGTCTGCAGACTTGTGGAGCACTTTAAATACTGACTGAGCCCTTCAAAACGCTGTGTGTATGCATGTGCTCTGACACTTCTAGACACACCTCCCCCACTTACCATTTGGCTAGGGGGCTCATAATCTGGGGATGATCACAGATGAATGTGGGGTTGATGCATGTGCCTTCCAAACATTCCCCAACCAGCTGGAAAACAAGATAATGGGACGAGGTGGGGAGAGATGGTTAATTTAAACAGCTCCTCAGTCTCAGAAACAGCACAACATGGCCAGATTGTGATGCTCCTCTCCTGCATCTCTCTCCTTCAGACAGCTTGACCTCCTCATTAGAAATTAAACTCTGGTCTAGGGAAGACCCCCCCCCCCAAAAAAAAAAAAAAAACCAATAGCAGGACAATGCTTCCACAGTTGCTTGCAGGGCCACTTTTTCCAAAGCAATCAGCCCATCTTTGACTCTTGGGTATGAAGCATCAGGAAGTAGGGCTCTTTCACCAGCCCCAGGAAGCCACATCTCTAGACATAGCTTCAACATGCTGTCCACCCCCTTAGTTATGCCTCAACAACTTTTGGAAGCAGTGCAGTCTTTGTCCATTCTCACCTGTATGCTTTTTGAAGAGGCAGGATGAGTCATTTGAGGTTCCACTTCAAAAAGGGACTCACAGAAATTACAAGGGAAGCCACTTGAAAGGTTGTCACAAAGAGGACGGCCAGGATCTATTCTTGAACATCCCAGGGTGTGGGGCATGGAATTAACAGGCTCAAGCTATAGGAAGCCAGTTTCTCCTGAACATCAGGAGATGTTCCTGACTGTTAGAGCAGTCCAACAATGGAGCCAAATCCCTCACATGGCTGTGTGTTCTCTCACACCAGAAGCATTCAAGAGACATCTGGACAGCCAACTGAGAGGGACAGCTTGACTTGGAGTCCCACACTAAGCAAGGATTTGGACCCAATGGCCTTCTGGATCCCCTTCAGCCCTACTATTCAATGATTCCACGATCCATTTCCTCTCACCTTATCTAGCAGCCTGGCTGTAGTCCGAGGGGCTGGACATTCAATTCCTTTCTCCTCACAGAGAGCATCAAAGAATTTGCGAGTTTCTGTGTACAAAATTAGAGAGGTCTTAGTGAAACCACTGATTGAAATCCCTTCCCTAGGTGGGGAAGACAGAAATGGTTCGTGTTTCCGTCTTTTATTTATACAGGTTTTTATATACCATCCTCGTAGACAAAATTGACTCTGAACAATTGCAGTCATGAACAAAGAGGAGAGCCAGTGAGAATAAAGCAAAGGACATGACTGCAGATATCAGGGACAGCAGTGTCTGTACAGAAACAACATACAAAGCCACAAGCTACCTGTCTCACTTGTAAGCTTACAGAGAAGGAAGACTCGGCATTCTGCCCCATCCCCCACATGCCCCCGCATCGTATGTGGGACAACAGCCCAGCAAAGAGGCTACGGGGCACTTCAGCAGCTGCTACAGTGCAGTTTTATTAAATTTGGCGTTTGGGTGATGGTGGTGGGGGGCAAGCCAAACGGATGGTACTTTCGGACTGGACAAAGGGATACATATTCTCAAAATAGAGCAATGAAGCTGTTGCTAGCAAGGAGGGAGTTAGCTTCTTCCTGCACCTTCTGTGTTGAACTGATCTGTTGCAGGAAGTTTCACCCCCAGGACTCGCTCCAGCTCATCCACCATACTGATCTTCTGGAAGGGTGGCGTGAAATCGATTTCATAGGCCTGGCCCTCTGGGCCTTCGGGGTGGTACTTTATCTTGTATCCACCAGTGATGTGCTTCACTATTCCTGCAAGGGAAGAGTTTCACTTTAGCCCGACTGAGCTGCCCTCTGCCCATCTCCCACACAGGCCCTTGCACTGACTATGCAAGTCTTTGATATACTGCTCACCAACCTGAAACCATCTGCTCCGTGATCTCCATCAAGTCATGGTAGTCTGCATAAGCCATGTAAAATTCACAGGTCGTGAATTCTGGATTATGAGTTAAATCTATGCCTTCATTCCGAAACTGGCGTCCGATTTCGTAGACCCGATCTATTCCGCCCACCACAAGCATCTGAAATACAGCAGGTGCAGCCATTTCATCGCTTGCACGGCTTTGCAGGAATCCCCACTCAGCCCTCAGATTGCCCACATTTTGCTGTGGATGGAACCTAGAAGTGGACTGAACCGGTGCTGTTGCCATGCCAGGTACACAAGGTAGTCAACACTCTGAAAGTGAAAAATATTCTTTCAATGTGACACAAAGGACTTGAAAACAAACTGGTACCTGTTGCTTGCAGTTTATTCCTCTGCCCCCACCCCCAGGCCTCCAGAAGCATGTTGGGCAATGGTAGCTGTAAACCCTCTTGACTAAGCCCCTCTTGCATCTAGATACTGTCATGTTCGTGTGATTGTGCTGGCAAAGCTGCTCCAACTCTGTCAGCCTGGAGGGAGACCTTTGGCGAACAGCACCTTTCAAGCTTTGCTGGACTCTCAATCCGACTGAGATCTGGCCTTTGACTGGGCTACTCTTTCAGGTTTTGGTTCTGAAACCACTCCAGTGCTTCTCTGATGGTGCATTTAAGGTTAAAAATCCAAACAAGTATAGGAATGTGTCCTCAATAACTGGCTATGCTGGTGACGCGTTCTGGGATCTGAAATCCAAACATCGGGAAAGCTGCCTTGTGTACACCCCACTTTAGAAAAAACACAACCACTGTTTGGGGAGGGGGTTCTTTCTGACGGTGATTCTTTCTGATGTATAAGTCACACACACTTCAGTTTTCCATAGTAATCCATTTCCTGTCAAATTTCAAGGGTCTAAATTTGTTGGGCATTTCAATACTACAATGAGGCAGGGAGGAACTGAAATATAAGTATTCTGTTGGACTCACAGTCTTTAGAAACATGTTTGTTTTGTATCATTAGTGGGTTTGCCTATCCTCCCAACATTTTTGAAATATGTTTGGCTGGGGAGCAGGGATTTCCTCCTGATAGGTTTAGCCAGGTTCTCCCATTCTAGCAGTTTGCTGAACAATTTTCTTAAATTCAGCAGGAAGATCGTGCCTTAAGCACTGATGCAAAGGGCACACAGTGAAGTCTTTAGGTATATCAGCACTACCGCAATCAAGCGATTCAGTTTCACCCTCTTTGCCTGCTTTGCCTACATTGTGCTCACCTTGTGGTAGAGCTCTGGTGCTATTCTCATGTACAAGTTCATGTCCAACTCATTGTGGTAAGTGATAAAGGGCTTTGCCACAGCCCCACCAGGTATGATGTTCATCATGGGAGTCTCGATCTAGCCCAGAACAAACAAAACAAAGTTTTCTGATGCATAAGTGCCTTCATGTAACCCAGTTACCCACCACTGCCCTCAATGGCCTGCCACACAGAGCACCTGAGACACACAAGCACATTATTGTTTGAGAAGGGGAGGGGAAAAGGCTTTTGGCCCACATCTCTTCAGTGGTGAATATCATGGAAATAGAGCAGCAGAAACAAAAAGGTTTCAAGTACAACAGAGCAGGAAACCCAGAAAGACTGGCGTTTATTAGAAATGGACACTAACACCCTGAGAAAGAAGAACACATTTATACAGGATCTGATGACACACCAGTGAACAGTTCTAAGTTTAAATCCCACCAGAGAATATCTTTATATCAAATATGAACAGTATGTCCCAAAGCATGTGTCTAAAGCATCAGTCTCCTTAGAAAGACGGATGCAGCACAGAACTGTCCATGCAAAATCTTGTTACACCTGATACTATTTTAATTTAAAAAACAGAGAACCATAAATTCTGTCTAAGTTTGCTGAACCAGCAATGGATTTTCTTCCTAAATCCACAGAAGTGCTATATCATGGGATTTTTTTAAAAATCCAAGCACTCACCTCCAGAAAGCCCAACTCATCCATAAAGTTTCGAAGGTATGTTATAATTTTTGCTCGTATAATGAATTTCTGTCTCACAAAATCATTAAGAATTAAATCCAGGTATCTCTGCCGGAATCTTGTTTCCTGAAAACAGTAGTAGGTTTTAGAGCACAAAATGTACAGAAGCAGGTTAGATACACAAAGAGGCAGTCTAACTGAGGAGAAAACAGCAGTAGCAAGAGTGGTGTAAAGGTGGAAAGTACAGGACTGGGACTCAGGAGATCTGGGTTCTAGTGCCCACTTAGCCATGGAGCTAACTGGGTGAATTTGGGCCAATCGCAGACTCTCATCCCAGCCTACCTCACAGGCTTGTTCTTGTGAGGATAAGATTGAAAGGAGAATTCTGTAAGTCACCTTGAGTTCCTTAAAAGGGAAAAGGCATGATATAAATATAATAAACAAATAAAGGATGATACCTTGTCTTTGAGCCCAAAATGAAGATGAGGTAGCATGTGGAGGCACGGTGAGAGCAGAGTGATTTCATACGGAATAATGCTCAGTTCTCCCTTCTTTGTCTTACCAGGGTTCCCTTGGACCCCGATAATGTCTCCACGGCGAAGTTTGTTATTAACGTGCATATATTCCTCTTCGGATTTGTAGTTCCTGAAAAGTTTTTGAACATGCCTTGTATTAGCAGAGCTCTTCTCGGCAAGCATTGTCCCATCACCAAGTACAAAAGAAACAGATACAGTGCACTCTCTCCCATACCTCATTGCCTTTGGAAGATTACCTGCAGCAAGCATGCATGTGCACATGTGCGCACGCACACACACCGCTGTGAAAAAGCAAGACACCTGCCGAAATGCCTGGGACATAAAGCCCGTTTCAGTCCTTTATTTGGAAGAGTAAGCCTTGCTCTCTGAACTTGCCCACAGACAGCAGGGTCATGACGGGGAAGAGTTGATAATTAGGCCACACTGGCAGCCATATTCCAATTTCTGAAAGCTCACGTTTGTATGCACCCAACTCCCACAACCCCTATGCAGTTTGAGAAGACAGCACTTGGCATACCAGAATATGGAGCACTGAAGTAGTTGCAGCTCTATAGGCATAGGCAGTATATACACTGGAAGTGAAGATCTACATAAGGTAACCTGAGTAGGTGCTGGAAAAGAGCTGTAGCAAGGCCACTGAGGAGATGCTTCTCTAACAACCGTTGATCACATCAATGCATCTCTCTTTAGCAATACATGCCTCACTCTTTGTTCGCCCTTTGTTGGGGTTTGGCTGTCTACTCTGGCTAATAGGGCCTAACAGGGCACCTCTAGGCCTACGCAATCAAGCTATTCTAGCCATGAAAGAAGACCAAAGCGATCAAAGCATGAAGGATGTAGACGTTTCTAACACAGTCTACAATTGAAATAGACGGCATCATGCTTTGGACTATGGCCCTCACCAGCCCCAGCCAGCATAACAGGAGCTGTAGACCAAAAGATTTGGAGGGCACCAAGCTGCCCACCCATCATCTACTATAACATTCTACAGTCAAATTGTATCAATGCTTTTAAGTTCGTAATAGTTGATAAAATAATATCAAAATATTGCAGTGACCACAAAATGATCCACACAGAAAAATAAACTAAGTGACAAGCAAAACAAAACAATGCTCCTGTTCTGGCAACCATTACATACATTCTGAGGAGTGGGCAAGGTGTTGCTCATGGGGACCAGTGCCTCAGATAGCTTCTTTGATGTCCAGACACACTATACTCCTCCCAATTTTTAAAAAGCATAATTGTGCATTAGTGGCAGGTAAGACTGCTTTAAAGCAAAGTGGGAGCCGCTAGCAGCTGTCATCTTGCTCTCCCAGGAATGTCCCTGAGTTGGTGACACATCCTTTTTGACTAGCCAGACCCATGCATGGCAGGCACGTTATAGTTGCATCCATGAGTGTTTCTCAAATTTCCAGATGCCAAAAGGCCCAAAAAGAGACATCCAGAAAATAGCTGCTCATCTGGAACAATTCTGAGCCCCAAATCATGCTGTACTTTCATTTTCACTTTCTGTGAATTGAAGAAGTAAAGCAGAAGCAATAACTGGCTGCTTTTCTACTGTGTACTTTAGAATGTTTTACCTGGAGTTTGCCATGACTTGCAACTTAACTCCCTCCCCACGAAGATCATAGAAGATTAATTTGCCTCCAGAAGCACGTTTTGCATGGATCCGACCTAAACAGCAAAGTTACATAGCAGTTACATTAAAAAGTGACAAGAGAATGAGAAAAGATTCGATGTGATCACAGCAAATACGCAACACCCTGATCAAAGACAAGGATCAAAACAAGAACAGAAATGCCTCAAAATGTATCAGTTGCAGTGAGAACATATAGTGAAGAATGGCAGCAAATCACATGCTGCCGTTTGTGGAGCTCTCACCAGAAACCAATTCACTAGGGACTGGAGCAGCTAAACAGCACATGCAATTTAGAGACACATGAATTGTGTTTCTTCAGCTTCAGGTCAAACTTAAAGGCAAGGGATACACTACTCGCAGTCCTCATACCACCACCAAATTTTAACCCCCCAGAAGTAGCTGGCACTGCCATTTCCACACCACAAAAAATAGCAGTGCTAGGCAGACTCATGGGGGTGAGGGGAGAAGAGGAGAAGGCTTTAGCATATAACACCTGTCAACACCAGATATAGCCCTTTGGACCAATAAAGTCCAGCACCCCATAGGATCTGTGGCAGCAATGGCAGTTCCACTGATCTCCACAAGGGGAGCACAATATACTGTACATGAAAAGTCATAATCATCTGCTCTTGTAAACTACTCCAACAACATTGCACCAAGTTTCTTCTGTAGACATCACTGTAAAGGGATGTGGCAGAGACAGGTCACTTCTTTTTCTAAGAACCCCAGGTGAGCCTTTACCTGCCAGTCTCACTGTGATATCAGTTAGGTGATCTCCTGCCTGTAGGTGGCTATATTTGTCTATGAAGTCTGTCAGGGACAGATCCACATGGAACTTATGTGGGTAGGGATCTTCAGAGGTGCCCTTCAGCTGCTGGATGGCAAGACTGCGAATCTTATAGTATTGCTGCCAGACAGAAGAGAGATAAAGAAGTTTATCAATGCCCAAAATAGCACATGACAGCCAGATCTTCCAGGACACTTGCATGATGTAAAATACCAACAGCTGTTGCACAGTGCAGAAGCACTTGATGTCTATTTCCATCAGTTCCACAGAAAAGTGTCTCTAGAGAGTAAGGAGAGAAAAGAAGGGAAGGGACGGGGTACACTTCCGGAAGCCCCTTTTCTCCCCCCTCCCCCAGCCTGCATGTTCAGTTCTCCGTGGCAATCGGGACCCTTCGCCAAAAACGTGGTATTTTCCACAAGTGGCTTCAGTACCATCACCGAGTGGGACGTGGCAGCAAGCACTTCCTGCTCCCGCAAGTGAGCAGGAGGCGCCCGGCCAGTTCGCGGCCTTCCCGGGCATCCCCGCAGAAGCCACCGGCCCATCCTTTCCCTTCCCACAGCAGCTCACGTTGGGATCAAGGCTCTCTTCATCGGCTACGGCACAGTCGAGGCCACCCGCCGAGGCCTTCTCGCCCTGCGCCTTCTGCTTCGCCTCCTTCTCCGCCACTTTCTTTTCCGCCTTCAGGCGGCGCTTCAGCTCGCTGAGGGGGGAGAGGGGGAGAGGAAGCCTCAGAGCCGGGCCCCAGCGGGCCCCCTTCCCCTTCCTCCGCCTCTGCCCGCCACCCACCTCTGCCGCCGAGTCGGGGCCTCCCTCACGCCGCTGCCGCTCCAGCTCCGGAGCGGCCGAGCCCAAGCCAGGCAGCGGCCCCTCAGCAGCCGCCCGAGGCCGAGCATGGGGCCGCCGGAGACTCACTTCTTGCTGAGGGGGGCCTCGGCCTCCGCGGCCAGCGGAATCCCCGCGAGCGGCGTCGCCATCTGCCCTGCCTCGCCGTCCCGTCGGAGCCACGGGAAGCGAAAACGAAAGCGCTTCCGGCCGGCCGGCCGGCCAGCTCCGCGGGCGCCACCGGGGCCACTGCGCCTGCGCGCGCGAATTGGCGGGAGGACGGGCGCCGCCGGAAGTGCGTCTCCGCGCCCCTCACCTGGACGGCGCCACTGGCGGGACCCCCCGAGCGCGTGCAGGGTGCCCTCCTCTCGCGCGCCCAGGGCTCAGGACGGAGGGAGGGAAGCGGAGGAAGAAGGAGGGCTCGGCCCGTTCAGACGCCTTGGCCTTGCGGTCGCTGGCCTCGACGAGGGCGGTGAGAGGGCGATGCCTGTCCCAGGAGGGGCCGCGAAGGCGTCGCAGGTGCTTCCTGCGCCTCCGCCACAGCAGCGGCGGCTCTTCCAGGAGGAGGACGGCAGCGGCCTGCGTTTCTATTTGCGGCCTGGAGTGGACAAGGCGAACCTGGCACCACTTATCCTGCGTGAAGGAGGCCACATATGCCATGTGCAGGAGCCCAGGGCCATCCTGCTGGCTCGAGCTGCAGAGGTGCCAGCAGGAACCGCGGGGAACTTCATCTCCATCAGTTATGTCACTGACTGTGTGGCCCGCAAGGAACGGCTGCCCATGGAGCACTACCGCCTGCACTCAGAGCCTCCCCGCTTTGCCGTGGGTAAGGCCAGCCCTGAGGGCCGGGCGCCATTCATGACGGCTGAGGGCCAAACCCTGGTGTTGTACGTGTAGTGAGCAGCCGGGGAGCGGGGCGGGGGGGGGGGTCAGGCGGCTGCCACTACCTGCATGGCCTTCTGGAAGGACCTAGCACAGGCCCAGGTCATCCCACACTCACGGCAGGCCAAGCACAACTGCTGCCTCAAGCAGCTGCAGCACTGGACACCTCTGCACCTGCCAGCCCAGAGTCTTCCGCCTGGTTCTGTTGCCATGGCTGTGGCTAGGAAGGGGCAGCTGCAAAGACCTGGCAGCTTAAGGGCGGCAAGAGGCAGAGCTGCTGCCAGGAAGGAATTTGTGTGCAACAATCCCCCTGCCTGTCTACCAGGACTGCCACCACCACCTGCTATGCTGTCAGGCTGTCAGTTGGTGCAGCTTGTTTGGAGTGTCTGGGACCAGCCGTCATACCTGTTGCAGATGCACAGCCTTTTCATTCTTTTCTCTCCCTAGAACCTTCCTACAGGCTCCTATATCTTAGTTCTCTTTCTTCCCAGCTCCCATCCTTCAGTGACTCTGCATCCAAATTGTTTGTGTCTCGGGGACCAGTTTCTTGCCTGTTTAGTGCAGTTCCTCCTGGCTTGTATGGGATTTTCTCTAGCCAAATTGATAAATATTAGAGAAAATAGATTTTTGCAGTATCTGCTTGTCACCTTCAGCTAGTTTGCTCTATCTTGGTGTTAAGTCTCTGGCCTGCTTCTTAAGTTTCCCATTGCACTCTTTTTGAGCCTGATCCTGTCAAGCTGGGGGAAGCCATCAGAACAAAAACCTTGATTTTCTTATGATGTTCTCCCATTTTATAAGAGCGAAAGCTGCTGTGGTACTCATTGTAACAACAGCACAAGGTTGGGATGGAAAGGTAGTTTGAATTTTTTCTCTCTCATGCCAGTGAACATTGTTCTTTAACAGCCTCAGGAAGTAAGAAAGTGATGGGTCAAAAGTGCGCAGCAGAAGGATCGAAGGCACAGAGCATTTTCCAGATCGCCAACGAAGAATTTGAAGACAATGAGGTACAAATACTCTTGTACAGGACAGCAGTGTGTGTGTCAGCCTAGACTGCAGCTGGGTTTATGTCAGAACCTAGTGATGTGCATTTGATGTCTTAGATCTTGGGCACCGCTACAGTGGCTTGTTTCCATGCTTGCTGCTCCCATTAATGCAGTTTTTAGGGAGCAGCCACGCAATGTTGTTGCTGACCTGACGCATTCCAGCGTTTTCCCTGTTGTCCTCACATCAGACCTTATTTGGGGCAGTAATAGAAAAGTAACTTAAAGTAACTTGTGCCCATTTGCAACACCAGCCTACCCAGTGTGAACTGGCAAAGCACCGTGGAGGTGTTGGAGGACATTTTCATGGAAAGCCGTAGTGGCCCTCTAGGTCTTATGGATAAATTAAGAATTAGTAAATCAGGATCTACCTTAATGCAAATGTGAAAGTCGTGATTTCCTAACAGAAATGTGTCACTTGTCCCTGAGATTGGTCTCCATACCCGAGGAGTGGAAAGTGGCCAATATAAAACCAATTTTTAAAAAGGGCCAGAACATTGACAGCATAGTTTGCTGATAATGCAGTGGGATCTGCTTCCAGTTAAATTTGTCTAGGATTGTTGCCTTAATATCTGGTCAGGGTAAATCGATGGAAAACATTATATGATAAAACTATTATGTATATGGAAAGAGACAATTTGCTGAAAAAAGGATCAACATGTACAGATATGTCTTGTCTTGTGAACCTTTTCAAGTCCTTTTGAGTGGCAACAGGCAGGTAGGTTGGAATGATCCAGTGTGTGCCTTGTGTGCTTGGGCTTCTGGAATATTTCTGATGAATCCCTCGCCAGTGGCTCCTGAGCAAGATTAACAGTTGTGGAATAAGAGGAAGGCCCTCTTATAGATTGGCAGCAGATTAAAGGACAGAAAGAGAATAAGAATAAATGGACAGTTCTCACAGTGGAAGGATGATAGCAGCAGTGCCTTCCCAGAACCTATCAAGGCTGATTTTTAAAAAATTATTTATAAATGATAGGGAGTTACATTTGAGCAGTAGGGTGGTCAGCTTTGCTCACGACAGCAAATAATTTAGGATGACTAAAACAAACCAAACAATAGACTAGGAAAGGCTGCAGAAGGACGTTTCCAAATTGTGTAAATGGAAGTTAAAATGGTAAATGTGGTTCTGCATAAGCAGTGGTCATGTACACTGATAAGATCTGGGCTGGTGGTGCCTGATGAAGAAAGCAATCCTAGGGTTGCAATGAACTGGGTTTTTTTTTTAAGGTAAGTTTTGTGAACTGCACAGAAAACTTTGGCAATTTAGAAAACCAATAAATAAATGGCTTCATAGAATATCAGCAAAATAAGTGGCTACATAAAAATTGGGGAATCCATGCTAGCGACAATTACATGTTACACATTACATGGGAACTACATGTTATTTCGATGTTAGGGGTAAGATGACTGGAAGATGACTGGAACTGTACCTGTCAGTATTGTAATGCTGGAGAGGTTGCAAATCTATGGAGCAAACCATCTTGGAATCCTCCATACAGTTGTGGTCAATATACCTACAAAATGCTGTTGTAGACCTGGAGATGCTGCAGCTAAGCTCAGCTAGGGTGTTCAGGGTGATGATGCGTCTCCCCACAATGAAAGGCTTCAGCATTTGGGGGTTTTTAGCTTAGGAAAAATGTGGAAAAGAGTAAATAGCAGGAGAACACCCTCTCAGGAAAAACCAGAATTCAGTGGGGTCAACCAGTGGGGCTCACTCAGTGAAACTGAATGGTCAAAGATAGACAACAATAGACAAAGGAAGTACTTTTTCACATAGTAAGCAATCCATCTGTCAGGGTCCAGGGCCATGATGGGAGAAGCAGGAGACAAGACAGAGACACTGGAACCAGGGCAACAGAACTTGAGACAAGTCAGATCCTGACACCATCAGGGGAGCAAACCATAAAAATGCCTGATAACCCGCACTTATATCTATAAGCTCCTTACTGTTTCTACCAGCACACAATAGGGGCCATTTCTTTGAGATCTGTTTCCTACGATGTATTTTATCTTTCCTTTTGTTTTTCTTGTCTTGATATTCCACCATCTTGCTACTTAGTTTGGCATCCCCTCTCTCATTGAATTTAGTATATTGTTCAACAGCAGAAAAGGGCCTAAAAACACTGGTATTTACAGCCCATTCAACGAATTGTTGACTAAGCCTGACAAGGCCTGAATTGCTTTCCTTCCAGGGGGATAATGAGACCCTCAATACTTGTGAAGATATATCACCAAACCCCACAAAACTCAAGACCTCCAAAGAAGCACCGTCTTCAAATCCCAAGGTTGGGTTGCCTGAGTTGGCCCCTGGTGCCAGTTCTGCTGTGCTGCAAAGCCCGCTCCCAGAGGAAGAAGGGCCTCCAGGGCCCTCTGCCATGGAGGTGGCCATGGCAGTTGACGATATAAAGCATTTCATGGGCAAATTCAAAATGGACCTGGCCACTGTGATGCAAGCTTTTCTGAAAAACAGCGGGGAAGTAGAGGCTGTGGAATCTTGTCTGTACACTGGACAGCGAGCAGATGGCTTCCCTTTTTGGAGCAGGCAGGATGATTTGAACTTGCTGAAGGGTGAAGATGATTTCAGAAGACAGCTGGTAGCAAAATACGGGGCTGAGAATGTGACTAGGCGGGTGGCATTCAGAAAAAACTAGTACATGGCAGGAGGGATTTGTGGGGCTGCCCCAGTGTAGGAGAGCCCTCCCCTACCTAATGCACCTTTTGTTCACAGGCATTTTCTGTGCTGTGAACTGGCTGTGCCTTCGATGAGAGTCTTTCTGGAGGCTGGCAGCTCGCAGTCAGTCTCTGCCATGATTAAAAATGGAAATAATAGATGTGACCAAGATACTGCATCTTTTTGCTTTTCTCCTGTTTGTATAGAAAGACTTTGTTCCTTTAGTGAGTTTCTTCTTAATCGAGATTGCAACTGTTGTTGACCTGACAATAAACCTGGACATCTTTTCATCTGATGCACAGCTATTTCCTTGTATCTGTATCACTTAGCAAATGGGTTTAAAGTGATCTCTCATCTTTATTCAGAGCAGGAGCAGCAACTCTGGACAGTCCTCTGAGTGGGATGCTGTGACTTGGTATCCTGCAACAGCAGGGGGTTGGACCTGATGGCCTTCATGGCCCCTTCCAACTCTACCATTCTATGATTCTATGAACATGAACAATTCTTTTAAGATGTTGTTTCATTCTTTTTGTCTTTTTTATTTTTGATTATTATTCACTGCTGTGGAATCTTCTTAGGAGTGAAGTAGTATAGAAATGTTGCAAAGAAATGAATGAATGTGTTTTCCTGTGCCCAGTTGCTCCAGATGTGGCATTTGTCATTTATCTCATTCAAGGATCAACAGTTTGGTGGGTTTCATAATCAGCTAATATGTGTCACTGCTATAAGCCCATCTCTGAACACTTCAGGAGGGCTGGTGTCTTGTTTCTGACGTTACACTCAAAAGAAGGACACATGCGAGAACCAGGAGCAGGTGGGGGGCTGGGCACTCTCCATGGACAGCAGCTGCGTATATTCTCCATTTAGATATTGCTGACCAGGTATTGGGAGGGAGCTGCCCCCCTCTGGGAGACCCTAACGGGTGGTTTTGGGGCAGAGAAAAGATGCACTGTTGCAGCAGGGTCCCTGTTAATGGGCCAGAACCACCTTTTGCCCATTATTTGTTTCAGAGGAGGGCTTTCTCAGTCATACCGCCATGTTTAAGAAAGTGCCTAAGAGGATAGACTTCCACTTCCAGAGCCTCCTGAGGCACTCACCACACAGGCTCTCCTCCTTTGGACAGTGAGTGGGCCAGACAAACAGGGTGTAGCTTGTCTGGCTCCTCAGATTTTGCCATCTTTCCTGCAGGGTAAGTGCAGTTTAGGAACAGCTCTGTTGGCCACTTCGCTTGGTGGCCCTCTCGCCACCTTGCTTGGTTATCCAGTTCAGGCTTTTGTGCACCACTTACATCCAAGCAAAGTAGTGGAGCCCTGAAGCAGAAGGTGACGAGGCTACTTTCCACTCACTTTCTTGTTTGGGAAGTGGTGCTTGAGCATTCAAGAGATCCAGCGCCATGTTCTTCTGTTCTTCCTCAGATGTGACTTGCTGATAGCCCAGAAGCTCCATAGCATCCTTGCAGATGTCCTGCAGCTTTGCTATCTGGAGATAGGGGAGGCTTCTCCTCCAAGCCTGAGACACATCAAGCGCATCTCTGGCATCTGTGTCAAAGGCTCGCCTGCCCAGACCTTGCCCATGCGTGATGTTGTGCACCCAGGACTGAAGGTTGGGCATGAAGCAGAGTCCTGCAAAGCTGTACAGCCGGGCAGCCTCAGCCACAGGATCGTGCACAATGTCTTCATAGCGAACCAGTAGATAGCGGTCTCGGAGGCGGCCAGGAAGACCCCACCTGCCTTCTTTGTAGATCTTCATGTGGCTCTTGCAGATCTCCTGCATGACGATGTAGGAGTCCTCGGGCTCCATGGCCTGGCCCTGGTGCCTCACCACAATCTTGTTGTCATGAGCCAGTAGTGCTGCCGTGTTCTTGCGGGAGTGGAAAACAGCCCTGGGGTCACGGACCAAGTGGATGATTTTGAGGTTCAGCGAGGGGTCAGCGAGGAGAGGATAGAGCACCTTGAGGTCAAAGAACCGGACCTCCTTCAGGACTACGTGGCTGTAGGTCTTGCAGGCCTCCTCCACTTTGCTGAAGGGGTACTTGCCACAGAGGGTTCTGCAAGCATCCTTAGTAATTATGTCACTGCGTTGGAAGGAGTTACAGGCTGGTGGGGAGCACAAGGCCCGGCTGGCTTCCCACTGGAAGAGGGCAGACTTATTCCTGCGTTCCAGCATGTAGGCATCAAAGACAGACATGTCACACTTGAAGACGGAACGGACTAGGTCCCGCACGGCCATGTGCAACACCTTGGCACTGTTTTGCTGCATGGCTGCCCACACGTGCCAGGCAGGCTCCATCAAGTAGAAGACGTCCGGGTGCTGGCTGAAGAGCTGCCCCAGAAAGGAGGACCCTGACCTCCACGATGACAGGATGAGGATGTGAGCCTGGGCTGGCTTCTCTAGTTGTGGACTTTTCCTGCTGTAAAGCTGAGCAAAGAAGCTGAGGAGAGCCAGGGTCTGAATCACAGCCAAGATTTCAAGCACTGACAACTTTTTTCTCTTCCACATGGCAGCCAGGGGTCTGGAAAGAGACAGAGAAAGAAAAAAGGAGTACATTTCTAAGGGCTGGCTCTCATCAAAGCCAGATGTTGTGTGGGTTCACACCTGAAATATCTGGGGCTCAAGAGCGTAGGTGGGGCATGGGGAAGATGTTGGCAGACTTTGGAGCTGGTATTGCCGGGAAGCCAGCAAGTCTTTCAGTGTGCTCCTCTTGTCCATCCATCACCATCTCTCCATGATTTGTGGAGGATAGGAAAGGCCATTTATCCTGATGGCTGCATGCCTTCCTCCAAGATGGCAAGCTTCAGCCCTGCCTCCAAATACTTGTGTGCAGCTGGGGAGCAGTCATGACAGAAGGATGCTTGACCACTGTGGGATTCCTTGACCACTGTGGGATCAGAATGCTTGACCACTGCTTGACCACTGTGGGATCAGAATGTGGGATTCCTTTTATTTATTTATTTATATTTTATTTATTTTTTCGATTTATATCCTGCCTTTTCCTACAAAAGGCTCAAGGCAGCTTACATCTCCTCCATCTTATCCCCACAACAACAACCCTGTGAGGTAGGTTGGGCTGAGAGCCTGTGACTGGCCCAAAGTCACCCGGTTGGCTCCATGGCTGAGCGGGGACTAGAACCCAGATCCTCTGAGTCCCAGTCCCATGCTCTTAACCGCTACCCCACACTGGCTCTCTTTTGGTTGGATCCAGCTTGACTGCTCTTCTGGTTTGCTTGGCAGGGGCCTGGGTGTCACCAGAAAGCACCCTTATTTTTGGCTTTGGCATTTAAGAGCTTCACTCATCATTTTCTCCCTTGTGACTTGTCCCAAAACCTCTCCCCAGCTTTCACAGGGATGCAACTGATTCAGCAGGTAGCCACCTGGCTGCAGGCCATAGCTGACAGCGACACAGGCTGGAGACATGCAACCAAGCGGCTGACCAGAGAGCCTCTTTTGTGTTGCGTTCCACCACGGGGAGGCAGGGACTTCCTCTGCAGAAGGCACAGACATCCTGCTTGGCCACCAAACACAGAAGCAAGCCATATGTGACTAGGCAGAAAGATGCCTAAACTATCTGGGAAAATAAACTAACTGGCTGACTTCTGAAAAACAAGTGCACTGAAGAGCAAGAAAGTCCCGCAAGTTCACAGCCTCCACTCCCTGGCTAGGAAAAGGAACCCCTGTGGCAGGCAACTAATTCTTGGATGGATCCAGTGCCCACTCTCTGGGCAGAGGACAGGTCCAGGTCTTGGAGCAAGGCCTGCCTGAGCATCCAGCTCCCCAAGGCCTCACTGGGGTGCCTAGCAGTCAGGCTGGGTCTGGCGCATGGCTTTCCCGGGAGAGTCTCCCAATAGTCTTGTATGGCAGCCCGCAGCCTTTCTCTTAGGGTCCTGTTCTAGATGGTGCGCCCAAACTCCTGTCCACGACAACTCCGATCCTTCTGCAGTGGCAGCAGTAGTCCCATTCCCCAGCTTGGGAGGACAGCCCAGGCCTCAGCACCACTGTCTGAGGACAGCCAGCTCATTGGTGAAGAGCATGGGGAGGCAGCTGCACCAGTCAGGAGTGCCCCTCCGCCCCGCATCTCCCAGGGCATGCCCCACTCTGGCCCTGACTGCCACGCGTATACGTCCTCTGAAGTTGTCCTCGGATGGATGATCATATTCGGACTGACCACTTCTCTCTTGTGAGGAGCCCCAGGTGGCTGCCATGGCCCTCCTCCCATGTAATCTTCACAGGAGCCCTGTTAAGTGACTGTTAAGTCAGTGACTGGCCCTGAGTCACCCAGAGCAGCTCCATGACCGGACTTGGACTCCGATCTCCCTAGTCCCAGACCAGCACCCCCATCCCGGCGTCACAGTCCCCCGTGCTCTTGCCCACTTTGCTGTTGTGCACCACGAGCGTGCAGGTGCTCGGGGCGCTGACTGCCCACCCTTGCTTTCCTCTCCCGCTTACCTCCTGTTGGTGCCCAGGCGTCTTGGAGCTGGCAGCGCAGCCTCCTTCATTGCCTCCAGCCAAGTGACCACCGGGAGGGGCTGGGCGGCGTCAAACCCCGCCCATCCTCTGCCTGGAGGAGTAGAACATGCACAGGTGGGGCGAGGGCTGCTGCCCTGGTGAGGGCCGCATACCCACCCTGGCAGGCAAAGAGAGGGCCCATGGCCAAGGGAGGTTTCATTTGACCCAGGGACTCCTTGTCCTTGCCAAGGGGAGGCAGTTGGCTGAAGGAGTGTTCCCATTAGTTGTCATCCAAGCGCTGGCCAAGTCACATTCCAGGACTCCTTAGCACTTCTCGGCACCCGCCAGCTCCTTGTTGGTCAATGTCACTGCTCAGTATTTGTAGCAGGCGGTTAACTTTAGCAAGACTGGGTGAAGCCCCACTGTTCTGCCCAAGGAGCCACTTCTCCTCAGAGGAAGGGCTGGGACTCTGACTCTGTGCCTGGTGTCCCGGGTTCAATCTCTGTCTGGGACTGGGGAAGGCACGCAGCCCTTTCAGCCACAGAAAGCTGCCCATGTAGAGAGCACTGAGCTTGGCAGTCCAGTGCAGCAAAGGGGAAGCTTGTGCCAGCCCATTAGCATTTGGGCAAAGATTCTCCTAGAAATGCTGAAATGTCCTCAAGTCCTTGCCTCCAGTTATTTATCTGTTTTATTTATTTAAAACTTTTCTGTACCATCCCTTCACAGATGTCTCAGGACGGCTAGCCTTGCCTGCTCATCCACTGGGCTTCCAGTCTCGACCTACATAGCCTGAGATTAGCAGGCAAACTTTCTAAGAGCACATCTGTGGCGCATCCCTATCTTGGGCATCAGTGGGACTAGGGATAACCAGGAGAAGAGCCTTTCTGGTGGCGGCACCGCAATTGCACAGTGCTTGCTTGGGACGAAGGCTCACCCAGGATCAAAGCTAATGCGCTTCTTGCACCCAGCAAAACTTTATTCTTTCCTTTGTGGCTTTTACAGATCTGCTTGTTCCTTCCCATGTTTCTTTTCAGCATATCATGTTGGATTAATTTGGGTTGCTTCCAGATGAGGATTTATTGTGGAGTCAGTTTGGCTCATTCACTCACATTTTACAGAAGGGCCACGCAGTTTGTTGTCCACTTGCTGTTTCCCCCAGTGCTTCTGGATGGATAACTGTGAGTGCTGCCTTCCAAAGGAATTGTGCAGAGATTTAATCCTTTCCTCAACTGGGTTTTTATTTGTTAGTAAGGAAAACATCAGAAGAAATGGTGGGAGGACACGGGTCACAGATGTGAAATATTGTTGACTGGATCCTCGTAAAATTTGGTGAATGGGGGATTGCACAATAAATGGAAGCAAAAGTTGCTGCTGTGTCCGTTTCTGCTTACCAGTGAAAGTCTGGGAAGGATTTTAGAATAATGCAATTTTCCCCAGGTATGGAAGTGCTTAGGGCTGTTTTCCCATCTTTTTCAAGAGGTGTGGTTTGGATGTGGGCATGGCCTCTCACAATCCAGCATATGTTCAGAACACCCTTTGCAGGAAGCAGCATTTTTATCACTTAAAGAATGTGGCACTCAAAGACCCTATATAGAAATACTGAATTAGCTACTTGCTCTTCGTTTTTACATATATGTTGCATTGTACGGTAGCACTCTTTCAGTAGTATTTCGGTGTTTTATTGGGCTTTCCCCCAAATAATCCCCTATAGGGCTTTTGTACTTCTTATGAATACAGTTAAAATAGTAATAGGAGGATCTGGACAGGCTGTGGAAGTGGGCAGGGGACAACGGGACGGCATTCAATGTGGATAAGTGCAAAGTCTTGCAGTTGGGACACAGGAATCAGGACGGGGAAATGGCTGGAGAGCAGCACTTGTGAAAGGGATTTCATGGTACTTGTCAACAGCAGGCTGATCATGAACCTGCAGTGTGACATGGCAGTTAAGAAGGCAAATGCCACCCTTGGATGTAGACCCCGATACGAGAGCAGGTGTTTGTCTTGCATTTATTCATAGAAAAGGTACAATAACTTATAAACTTCCAGGAGGCCTGGGAGGACCAGGCCAGAGGAGAGTACAGGTGAGCCTCCTTTGTGGCCTCTGCACGAGCAGGAGTCATCTCTGCCTCTGCAGCGGGACAGGACCCCCTGGCTCTGGGCATGGGAGGGCTCCTCGTGGCTCCTGCAAGCTTTCTATATGCCGGAAGCACCCGGTGGGATGGGTGGCAGGCTGCTGAAGGTGGATGCTTGAAGAGGAGGAGTGTCACTGGGGGCTTGCTCAAAGCTGTGTGTTGAGGCTGATGGAGGGGTCGCACCTGGACAAATAACACTGGCTGTGTGTTGCAGGAAAGCGTCACAGCCCCAGCACCCAGTCACGGTGCCGAGGCACTGTGCTGAGTGGGTGTGACAGAGCCCGTAGGAGCTTGGCTCAAGGCGGGTGGAGTGGAGGAACAGGGTGGGCGCCTGAGGCTACTTGTCGCATTCCAGGTCCTGGGCTCCCTCCCCTCCTTGGTAGTGCCTCTGGCAGAACCGCTGGATGCGCTGGCAGGCCTCCACCATCATCTCTTCAGGCACCGTGATCACCACCCGGAAGAAGTTGGGGTACTCAAAGCACTGGTGGGGAGAACAAGAGGGACCTGTTGAGCCAGTATCACCGGTGGGTTGGCTCCTTCCTATTCCTGCTATGGCAGACACTTAGGGGACCCCAGGAAAGAGCCAGTGGCCAGAGGCAGTCAGATGACCATCTCCTCTGCCTTGGAGATACCTCTGCCTCTGCCAGCACTACAGAAACATGCATGTCGGCAGATCTGGATTAACATCTAGTGCTGCCAATCAAGACCTCATGTATCGTGGACCAATTTCCACATCACCGTTGGAGTCCCCAGAAGTACTTTCAAATGCAGGAGTTCCCCTGTCTCTTCTGAAGGGGCATGTTGTTCCTCCTTAGCTCTTTGGTGCTTCCCAGGACTGCAAGGCCCAGATTCGTGTGCCGTGGGCACAACTGCCACTGCAGGCACCAGCCGGGGTTATTTTGCAGTGTCAGAAACAAGGGGTGAGAAGCAAATGTGCTGTGCGCATGTGGCCTGGCCTTTCGCCAAGGCTAACCAGTGCGGGGAGTGTGATGGACGGTGGCGGATGTGGGGCTGGGATCACTGGGGCATCCTGTTCGATCTCCAACAAAGTGGAGGCTGTGCCAGCTGGCACAGAGGTGGTGAGGGCAGGCCTTGGGCCCTCAACCCACCCAAGGCAAGAATGCCCTGAAAGCTGCAGGAATCCAAACGGGAAGGCAGCACAGCCTCCGGGGCAGGGAGAGCCTGGCCTGTTCTTTGCAGGTGGAAGCTTCTTGGGGCGTTGCAGTTCGCCATCCGGCTCTTGAGAGGGAACACACTCACCGTCGCTGGCAGACAGAAGACAGACTGCTCAGCAATGAGTCTCTCAGTGAACTCCACATCATTCTCAAACTCTGGGAAGTGCTCCATCTCAATTCCCACCTGTAACACGGAAGGAGAAGGTGGAGTCAAAGGCTGCCTGGGCATCTTGTATATTTTCTGCCTCCTGCCCTGCTCCACAGAGTCTGAAGGAAAGGCATAGAACTCCCTGCAGCGTGGCAGCCAGGTTGTCTCTGAGCCCACAGAGCAGGCTTGGTCAGGAAAGGGGAGGCGCCGGTCACTTGCAAATGTGCAAGTGCCCCCTGGGATAGGAGACCACTCACCATGAGATACATGGCTCCTGAGGGCTTAACAGGCCGCAGGCCGCAGACAGCAGAAAGGGCCGTGTAGCAGAGGGCAGCGTTGGACTGCAAAGGGCAGAAAGGGAAGAGGTCAGGACAGGTGGCAGGCAGCATCCTTCATGGGGCTCAAGCCTAGTCTGCCCCACAACACAGAAATTGCAATCAACACAAGAATTGCAGGGTGTAATTGGGATTAAGGTATCCCTAGACTAGGAACTGATGGAACTCCTGTGTGCCAGGAACAAGGAACATGTAAGAGGTGCACCCTTTCCTGACTCCGGTCTGTGCCTCTGGTCTCCTGAAACCACAGCCCTTTCTTTGATATGTTAATTGGGGTGCTGAAGGATGTTTGTGCTGTTTCAGTGCTGGTTCTTTCTGTTACTGATATGCTTTGGATTGCTTCTTCATGACCTGTCTTACTTACTTACTTACTTGAATATTTCTGTACTGCCCATTCCCATAGGCTCTGGGTGGTTTACAAGAGACAAGCTCCTATGTTTTGGCTAAGATTTTGTAGTTAAGCTGCCCCGAGTTTCTACGCAGACGGTCAGCTGCAGGAGGAGATACTGGGGGGTCTCGCTTGACCCATGGATGCCCTGCATGGGCCCCACAGGAGTTGCATCCCATGCTGTGGAAGGTCTACATGAGACCACTGCGTCCGTCACTCCGGCATTTCCTTGGCTTTTGCCTCCTTCTGCCAGGGTTGGCCTGCTTCCCCAGCACCGCTTGTTTCTTTTCTTCAACTTGTACGTGCACAGATTGCAACATGTCCGTGGGGCATACCTTAAGAAAGCTGAGTGTATTGTGGTAGAATTCAGAGGAGGTTTGGTGGAGGATGCGTCCGAGAGCTCCCTGGACGACCGTGCAGGGTCCCAGGATGCGCTGACTCAGCCTCAGGAGGCCGTCCCTGATCTGGAGAAGGTGTAAAGGAGAGCTCAGTGAAGGGTGGTACCGTCTGTCCCCACAGTGCACAGTTGCCGGAAGCTCCCTCAAGCACACAGGCCAACCTTCAACGTGCGCCTGCTAAAGTCAGGGGGCCTCCAGCTCACTCCAGCGAGGAAGCTGTGCATTGCTGAGCACGGAGCCGTCACGGGCATGTGTGGCCCTCTTGTTTGCTTTGCACACTGTTCTGTGGGCCTCTACAGAGGCAAAGAGGACCCCAAACCACCTCCTCCTGCTTAGTGCCCCCTGAGGAGGGTTTGGAGAGAGTTTCCCTGCCCAGGCCTCTTCAGAAGTGTGGGAGGGGGCATGCTGCCACCTTGACACCCCAGCTTAGAGGAAACCACAAGTGCACACTGAGGCAGAGCTGAGATGGGATGTTGGCCCAGGCCTCAGAGACCTGCTGGGAGGCAGCTCGAGCTGGGAACTACTCTACCACTTGGTTTTTGGCTCCCTCAGAGCAGCTGCCATGCCAGCAGCAGAAGCCCAGGAGAGCAGTGCAGCAATAGTGCGTGACTTCCTTACCTCCTTTCCAAAGATGTCCCGGCGATCATGTATAAGGATCCAGCCCATTCTCCAGCCTGGCACCAGCCACCGCTTGGCTAGGCCTCCACATGACAGAATGGGCACATTGGTGCTGAGTTTGGCAAGGGACTCATATTTGCAGCCTTCAAACACCTGGGAGAAGAGATAAAGGGGTCTGATGGAGTACTTATGTGAGCACTTTAAAACACCCCGCCCCAAGCCTGTCCAAGCTGGAATACACTGTGCACGGCAGACTCCTTTCCAAGGGAATTCTTTGGATCCAGTACAGTGGACCCTGATTCCAGGAGAAGATGGAAGTCCAGCCATCTCATGAAAGGGTGCGTAGAGGCAGCAAGGTCTCAGGGGAACAAGGGTGTTGCCTGCTTTGCTTTCCCTTCCAGCAGGCCCTCGCTGACCCCTCACTCACCATATCTGCGTAGATTTCATCAGCCAGGATGGGGATGCATTGCCTAGAGGCCACTGGGCAAGACATGAAAAAAGAGCCCAGTCAGTCACCCAAGTCTGGACAGGACAGGGCAGGAAACTCCAGGAGGGCAGCCCCCAAGCCTCAGGCTTATGATCAAGGGGACGCTTCCTCTGCCATGTGGCCCAGAGCATCCCCAGAGGATGTGGCAGAACCAGTCCATAGAAGAGGGGGCAGGGGCCCAGATAAAGCACCTCTACAGCGCCGTGGCAGGCCAGGAAGAAGAGGCTGCCCATTTGTTGGTTATCAAGGCTCCTTCCTTATCACAATGAAACAGCCCAGAGTTTGGCCAGGAAATCTCTAGAGAAGCCGGTAAACAGGTATCTCACCTGCCAAGATCTTCTGGAGGTGGCTTCTGCTAAAGACAGAGCCACAGGGGTTAGACGGGTTGTTCACAATCAGGCAAGCTGTCTTGTCATCCACCAGTGACTCCATTTGTTTCAGGTCAATTTCCCAGGACTTCTCTGGCTGAAAGTGGAATGCAAGGAACACCTCTTGCACTGGCTTGGCACCAGAAGACAAGCTACTGTGAAAGGAGCAGGCCTGCTAGTTGGCCAGGATCCCACAGCTGCTCCCTGCCTGGATTTGGGGCCCAGTCCAAAGAGCCAGAGGGCAATGGGGAGCACTCCCCCTCAGGCTGTGAATCCAGGGCCCCAACTGAGCTCTGCAGAGAGATATGGGCAAAAAGCCCCTGCCAGGGTGCATCTGCTCGTCACACTGCTCGCTTCTACTCCCAGCTTACCAAGAGGTTGTAGAACTTGACCTCAATCCCCAGGGAATGAGCTAAGGTCTTGTAGAGGGAAAAGCCAGGACGTGGCACCAGGACATTCTGCCCAGGGTTGGCCAGCACAGTGAGGGCCAGTTCGATGGCCTGGCTGCAGCCACTGGTCAGGATCACGTCCTGCAAAGAAGGGTGCAGGCAGCTATGAGCTGGCCGAACAAGCTGAGGCCACAGGAAAAGGGGAGCCAAGAACCCGGAGGGGGAGGGCCCTTTTGACCAGTCCAGCTACAGGCTGAAGCAGCACGGGAGCAGGAAGGGGCTCCCTTGTCTCTGTGGCCCTTCCCTTGAGCCTCCCCCTGCAGTGTTACCTGTGCTTCCAGAGGGGCCTCTGGGGAGCTGTAGTAGCCTGCAACCACCTCTCTGCAAGATAGATACCCTGTGTAGTGTTGGAGGGAGAGCTGAATGAATGTCTCGCACTTTGCTGGACCTTTCAAGGCCCCGAAGTGGGAGATGCTGGGCCCACTCAAGCGTGGCGCCCTCCCCGCACATGCATGCACCGAGGAAAGTGGCAGTGTGGTGCTGCTGCCAGGTGCTTGTCCCACTGACTTGAGCTTCCAGGTGACGTCCCAAAAAGCGACCCATCATGTTGGGGCTCGGGGCTCTTGCAGAGAACCTCTGGCTCACTGCCTTCCAGCCCAGCTCTCCCACAGGTGTGAGCTGCAAAGCCGCCTCAGGGAAGTGCCCTTCCCTTGGTGCCTTTTGTGGGAACTCCTGGTGACCCCCTGGGTCTTATGCTGCTGCCCTTCCTGGCTCAGGCTGATGCGCTCTCCCTTTCTGGAGAGCCCAGGGACTTACCCACAGAAGGTGCGTAGCCATCGTATCTCCCCGAGTTAAGAGCTTCCTTCACTGCCTCTGTGACCTCGCTGTCTGTAGGAAGGTTCCCAAAGACGGTTGGGTCTCCTGTGGAGAGAGAGAGGATCAGCCTCATCGGCTGCACCGAGGCAGCAGTCAGGCACGCCGGCGTCCCACTGCCCTTCTTTCCTGCCACCTCACTTACCTATGGACAATGAGATGAGCGGCTTCTGAGGATTGGGCTCCACTTTCATGCTATCCACTATTGCTCGGATGGGGTTGAACGTTCTCTTGGACATGTCAGAGGCCCGGACTGCCCAGTGGGGCTTGCGGCCTTTTGCTTTGCCTAAAGAGCTGCCCTTTCCACAGAGGTTGACGTGGACATCCAGGAGGGAGGGCAGGGCAGTGTTGCTGTTCACCTGGATCAGATAGGAGTCCATCGCCAGAAAGAAGAGTCTGCGCAGGAGAAGCAAGAAACAGGCAAAGGTTTGCCCAGGAGCCATGCCATCCGCTCGTACCTTGTGGGGCTCTGCCTAAGCCGCCGCGGTTCAGCAGCAGCACAGCCAGAGCAAACGTGGTGACAGCAGTGCAGCTGGGCCTGAGCGGGGAAATACTGATTTGCCCTCTGATCCCATGTGGGGGAGGACTTCGACTTTCGCCTGGCATTGAGGGGCGAGGCTTCTCCTGGTTAACCTCCAAAGAGCTACATGGGGATGCTGAACAAGCAGAGCCATGAATCCAGCAGCATCTGCCCCGCGCCTGCTGCTCAAGCTGTCATCTCCACCTGCCCGCACTAGGTGAAAGGTCCAGTAACTAAAAGATTGAATGAGGCATGTGCAACCCCTTGTCAAAACAAGGTAAAATGCATTTACAGAAAAAGATGAAGGCCAGAAGGGAACGTGTCCTTTTCAGGATTCGTCATTAGGTAGTCTTGCCATTTCTGGTGCCATGGGCATGATCCAAGACTGGAGAGCCATGGCATCTCCTTGCGGAGGTGATCTCAATCAGTGGCTCCCTTTCTTGCTTGGGGTGCAAGAGGAGCCCAGTAGGCCAGGAGGAGAGGCACTCTGCTGAGACCTGTTCTCCCATCTTCAGAGAATCGGCAGTGCACAGCTAGAGGGAGCGGAGGCCACAGTGCATGGAGATGGGGCAAAAGCAGCCATGACAGCTGGGCAGCAGGGGCTGTGCCAAGGAGCTGCCAGAGCCAGACACAAAGGTGGGGAAGCCAGCCACGCACACTGCGCTGCTGCCCCTGCCTGCCCGGCTCGTGGGAGCGCTGAGCCGCCCTCTGGGGGCTCTCCCTCTCCTGAGTTACAGTCCAGAGCACAGCAGACTGGCTGCAGGTACCAGCAGGCCCCTTCTTCTCTGCAGTAGCCAAAAACTGGCTCACTGCTCCAGAAGTGTTTTCTCCCTGTGCGGGCCCCTGACCCTCTAGCCCAGGTCTTCCCTTTTTCACCCCCATGGGCTGTGCAGATGGTCTCCTGTGGGGTGCACACAGGTAGGGTGTGGTTCATCAGAAGAATACCCAAAGTACCAAAGTGCGGCCTCATCTGGAAACACTGCTGCTCTCAGCAGTGGGTGCCTCATTCCCATTAGTGGGCTCCGTCACCAGCACTCTCTCTTGGGGGCTTCCAGAGCTCTTGCCGCCCTGCCTCATCCATGTAACTTGCTGAGTGATCCAGCTGACGGGGTCATCTACTTGCCACTGCACCTTCTTTTTCGCCTCTCCCATCTTCTTTGTGCCACAGAAACCAGTTCAGGAGGAAAAGCCCAGATAGCTGCTCCAGGTCTGCAAGCCCTCCCTCTTTCGGGAAGCCCACCCTCCAGCTGGATTGGCCATGCCATCACCAGCTTGGTGCTGACCCTTCCGGACTTCCCAGTGGCTGGTCCCACCGTGAAGGATCTTACCTGAGACACCCAGAGGGGTGGCTGCAGCTCACTGGTTGCGGAGGAGGCTGAGGTGCTCTGGATGAGCCTGGCTACCCTCTTTGCCCACTCTGACACTGCTGAATGGGAAGATCGGTGCCTGCCTGATTGTGTGGGGGCCCTTTTATGCACAACGGCCAGCCAGTAGCCAGCCGCAGCCCCATCATTGGTCTTGTGCCGAGAACTGGGAGTCAGCCGGGAGAACTTTAGCCATTGGCTGATAGGGAGGGTTGCACTCCCCACCCAGACACCCCACAGCCAAGCCACATCCTGGCTCCAAAAGCTGTCTGCACATTAACTCTTTCACAGAAGGGCCCTCCTGTCCCCTTGTGCTTCCCGGAGTTATCCACTACCTCTTCGCAATAGAGGGCTTGCAAGGCTCCTCCAGGTATAAGGATCCAGCTCATTCTCTGGCCCAGCACCAGGCATGGCCAGAGACAGGGCCTTGGGTGCTGGGGAGAGAAGCCACAATGCCCACATGAGGCTCAGGAGCTCAAAGGGTTAACTCTATCACTGCAGCTGTGGTCCAAGGTTCCCTCTGGCAGGCAAGGCCTATCGGGAGCAATCAGCCAGGCCCCTCCAGTTCCACGTTGCCGAACTTCCCAGTGGGCCCCAAGTGTGCCCCTCCGACCACCCTTGCCCACAGCTCAGCAAAGGCACCAAAGGCAGCCGCCAAACAAGGGCCTACTCCCCACTCCAAGCACAGCCAGCTGGCCTGTAGGAACCCCACCATCTTCAGCAATGCAGCCCCCTTAGTGGTGGGGAGGGAGCAGCCAGCTCAACTGAGGCAGCAGAGGAGCACTGCAGGTAGCGAATGGCACCCCCTGCACCCGATGCTCTTTCCAGGGGCCTGGGAATGCATATGCACCCAGTTCTGTACCTGGCATTGGCCCAGGGAAGAAGCCAGCACTGAAATGGTGCGGCAGGGGGAGAAAAGGGTGCTTGGAGAGCTGCCAGAGGGGCCAGCAGTGGTCTTCTCCCGTGGTCCGCCATGGGATTGCCTCAGCCAGCCCTGGCCAAGCCAGTGCCCTCTCTGCCTGTGGCCACTTCCTGGACACCACTCCCTCTGCTTCTTGGCACTGGAGACTGCTCCCCACCCCACCCCACCCCAGCCCTGCTGGGCCGGAACAGCCTGCCTTCCTTGCTGGGACCCTGGCACCTCCTGCCACATGAGCAGACTGGATGCTGACACCCCAAGAGAGGGAGGGGTGGCCTTGAGACACTACCCTCCCGCCCCGCCTTCTGCACCTGCCTGGCAAGCAGTCCTGTCTTCCTCCTGCCAAGCTGACGCAATTCCATTTGCCTGTGCCCATTACCGTCAGTGCTGCTGCCTGCGAAGAGAGATTGGGAACTGCACTGGGGCCAGCAGAGTGCCATTCTGTTTTTGTAAGGGATTTGTAAGTATCTCTCATGCTTAGATCCAAAGACATTTCAGACGTCTTGGAAACAGAACACTCAACAGAATACCGCTCCCAACCACAGTCTACCCAGGCACCACAAGTACAATCTGAGACCCGCTTCTGATGGCCTCTGAAGGAGGCTTGCGTGGTGGAAACAAGCAAAGGGGCCTTCGAGGAAGAGGTCCCCCACCCCACGTTATGGAACAGGCTCTCCTCTGTGGCCTGCCTGATGCTAATTTCAATATCATTTTGGTGTCAGGTTAAGACTGTCCTCTGTGATAAGGTATTTAGCTAGCTTTAATTTTATATTTGAGTGCTACAAGATCAGAGAGGAGCAGAGCTGGAAGAGGCCAGCAAGGCCATCTGGTCCAAGACCCTGCTCTGTGCAAGACAGTTAAAGCACCTCTCAAAGAGAGCTGTCAAACTGCATGCTGAATGCCTCCAGTATGGGAGAGTCCACAGGCACCCCAGGTAATTGCTTCTGTTCCAGGTATTTCCCAATGTCATCCGGAATCTGGCTTCCTGTACCTTGAACCCATTATTCCATGTCACACTCTGGAACGATCAAGAAGAGATCCTGGCCCTCCTCTATGTGACCAACTTTCAAGTACTTGAAGAGTGTTGTCATATCTCCCCTCAGTCTTCTCAGGGCTAAACATGCCCAATCTTTCACTCTCTCCTTGTATGGCCTTGTTTCCAGTTCCCTGAGCCTCTTTGTTGCCTTACTCAGAACCTTTTCAAGTTTGTTTGCATCTTTCTTAAACAGTGGTGCCTAGAACTGCACAGAGCACTTAAGAGGAAGCCTGACCAGATTTCAGTAGGGAGAAACTAGCGCTTAATGTGTTTTGGAGGTGATATCTCTATTATTTCCACTTCCACAACCAAATAATTAATACAAACATTGAATAGCATTGGGCCCAGGACTTAACCCTGTGAAACCCCACTTTTTACTTCTCCCAGTAGGAGAAGATGTCACTGTTTAGCATTCTTTGAGTCTGATTCTGTAGCCAGCCGTGGATCCATTTGATCCTTGCTCCATCTAGCTCACTTTTAGCTAATTTGCTAATCAGGATATCATGAGGCACTTTGTCAAAAGCTTTGCTGAAGCTGATAGATTATGTCCACAGGATTCCCAGACTGATGCCAGGCTGACTGGTTTGTAGTTCCCAGGTCTTCCTTTTTTCCTTATTTGAAGATAGAGACAGCTTTAGCCCTCCTCCAGACATCTGACACTTCCCCTGTCCTCCATGATTTCTCAAAGGTAGGAGGCAGTGGTTCTGAGTGTTCTTCTGAGAGTCCCTTTATTATCCGAAGATGCTGTTCATCAGGCCCTGGAGATACGAACTTCTTCCAAGTAATGAGGGTGTTCCTTGACCATTTGTCCATCAATCTCAAGCTGCAATCCTGCTCTGCAGCTTGTACTTCGCCTTTGCCAAAGAGGAGACAATCTCCCGGGAGAAGTACAAACTGAGCATGTCTGCCTTTTCCTTTCCACATGTGATCGTTTTGCCATCCTGACTGAGTAGCTGAAGCACCTTTTTTTCTCTTTTACTATGCATGTGTCCATCACTAACTTCAGTTCTTTTTCAACTTGAGCCTTCCAGATGCCATCTCTGCAGTTCTGGCTACCTGCCTGCACTCTCTTCCTTGCAGCCCAGCCTTTCTTCCTCTCCCCATATGTGCCCTTTCTCATTTTCAGGTCGTCTCTAACCTCTTTGTGAAGCCAGATTGGCTTCTTCTTTGATCTCCTACTGGTTTTTTAATTGTTTTTAATGGTTTGTGTTTCAGTAGCTTAACAGGTCGGATGGTTAAATCTGTGTAAGCTATCATTGCTTTTAAAGTGTGACTCTTAGATTTTGCATTATGTTTTATGATGCTTTTATTCTTATCAGTATTTTATTTGGGATTTATGTGTTGTTGTAAAGCACTAAGAGAGTGTTGACATTGGGCAGTACAGAAATAACATCAATAATATTTTATTATTTCTAATTTCACCTTCAGAAGGGTTGGAATATCTTCCTGTGCGTGTAACTCAAGAACAACCAGTGGCTCACCTGTCCAGGGTCTCAGGAGGTTCCCAGCTTGCTCCCCAGCAGCATCTGCAGGGAGGCCTGGGAAACTCTTGCCTGAAAACCTGGCGGAAGAGTCATGGATGGCAGGGAGAGTGGGTAAGGCAGCGCAGTGGCTGGGGTCCCACATGGAATGAGGGAGTGTCCGATGCTCCTAAAAGACGTCCTGTGTCCCTATCCTTGGTGATTTCTCTAGGTTAAGCCAAAAGAAATCAATTAGAAGCGTTCTGCAGCTGGATCAGGCCAAGCAGTCAGCCTGGCATTCTGTTCAGGCAGTGGCCCACGGGACACCCACAAGCTGGGCGTCTTCCCGTCCCCGGCAGCCACTAGAACTTTCCTCCTGTGGTGGGTGGTGGTGGTGGTGGTGGTGATGGAGTTCAGCTGGGACTGACTATGAACTAAAGCTGCCCTCCTCCATGCACGGTCTCAGTCCAGCGCCGAGTAAAGAAGCGTCCGCTGCACACGGGCTGGGTATATGAACAGCGCCATGGATAGTTTGCTTCGGAGGGCCTCGATCTGTCCCCAGAAAGCCATCCATCTTTGTGGCTGCACTTCCACTGCCCGGAGAGGGGGCCAGGCTCTGGGGCCAGCTCAGCTCCTGGGGTCTGCTGAGAGCAGCTTGTCTTCCTGACCTGAAGGATGTCTCTCCGCACAGCAAAGGGGAATATTTCCTCAGGCAGCTGCCTTTCGCTCGTTCCCCAGTGCTGAGGGCTGGATCCATAACAACGCCATTCAGCGCTTGAGGGTCCTTCGCTGACGTCTGATGCAGACTGGGGAGTGGGGTCAAGGCAGCAGGTGCCTCCCCGTGCCAGCAGGGCCCACCTGCGGCTTGGCCTTTCCTCCTAGGATGAGCTGGTGGGTGGCGGGTGGCCACCACAAGCAGTTGTGTAATGGAGACTGGAGCCCCTGATGGCAGCCCTCCCTGCTCCCTGCTTTGAAGCCAAAGTCAATATTGGCTGATTTCTTCACTGCTGTTTGCCTGGTGCTTTCACATTCTCTTCCACTTGTGTGGCCTGCTGTGTTGCAGCCTCTGCCCTCCTTGCCTCCATGGCCTTGGAGCTGTGGGATATTCAGCAAACATGGGGCAGTGCTCTCCTGACTTCAGTGGGTAACGTCACATTGATGTGATCGCCGGGTGTGGAGCTGACACCTGTCCCACCCCCTGCCCCTGGCGCTCCCCCAACTCCACCCAAGGCTCACCCTGCCCTGGACTGTCAACCCACAGGCGTCCTCAAGGGCCACTCTGAGCCAGCACATTGTCCTCTTGGCCAGCAAGAGAAACCGTATCCCAGCCTGCAGGAACAAGCCAGCAGTAGCAAATGGAATGTGCCCAGCTGCTTGGGGCAGGCCAACATCCTTCCTCACCTACCGGGTAAAACTCCTTTCTCCCGCATGGCTGGGAATGTTCTCCTCCCACAAGGGTACTTACTTCCCTGCCGTGCTTTGCCCCACCCTGCCTTGCATTCGCTTAGATAGCAGGGGGCCATTCTGAACAACTTAGACCCAGCCTCTGAGCTGGAAGCTGGATTCACACTGGAAGGAAAAATCTCACAGATGCCCTAAGGCCCTCTGGAATCCTGAAAGGAATCCATGGTGTTTGGCTTCCAGAAGTTGCGGGAAAGGATCTGGAAGCCTCACAGGAGAACTGGAAGCTAAAGCCCTTCTGTCTG